GCTAACGTAGCTCTTTTTCAGAAGCGATCTGTCCACAAATGACAGCTGAACTAAGTGGCTTGTCACGGCGGCCCTGAATGTCGTGAGTCCAACTTAGTCGCAGACTTTAAACACCGTTTAAAAATAAATACATTAATACACCGTTTAAAAATAAATACATTAATACACCATTTAAAAATAAATACATTAATACACCGTTTAAAAACAAATACATTAATACACCGTTTAAAAATAAATACATTCATGCAAACCGACACACCTGATGACGACCGTTTGTGTTACGGTCGAAACGTCGTGAGAATTTTTTTTATTGTTTAATATATATTTTATTATTTTATTGTTTCCCTTCAACGTGGTGACTTTACCGAAAGCGCTAAGAATATGAGTCGCAGACGTCGTCCTAGGGAGCAACATGTTTTATTAAACTACGAGCGGGAAGCACCCGGCGTTGCCCGGGGGAAAAATGTTTCGAAAAACTTCTCGAAACTTAAAAACAAAACATATACAAATGAATAAAAAAACTTTGATCATTACCTCATTAATCAAAATTAAAATAAAGCCCAACGCGCGGTGGGAAAAAAAACTTACGCTCACGCGCCAAGATTCGATTATTTAGATCGCGCAAAGGAATCGAAGGTTACATTTTGATTGAAAGCTTTCGTGACTGCAGGGATTAATATTCTTGGTTCTTTCGGTAAAGTCACCACCACGTAGAAGGGAAACAAACCACAGCAAGACAATTTTCTTGCTGTGTAAAATGTTATCGTAGTTATTTTCTTGCTGTGGTTTTCACACCTGATGATGATTGCTTGTGTTGCAGTCGAAACATCGTGAGAATTGTATTGTTTTATATTTTTATTATTTTATTGTTTCCCTTCTACGTGGTAACTTTACCGAAAGAACCAAGAATGTGCATCGAAGGTTGTAGATTTCTTTAGAATCGGCCTATTCCCGTTTAATCAATACCACAAACACCAGATATCGATTCTCGCCACACACTTCATGGTCATCCCCCCACCCAAGAAAAATACAAAAGTCAATTTGTATACGTTTTACATTGTGTACAGTATGTGAGCTAGCCACATGACAAATTAAAAGTTTGTTACCTATTTCCCCCCCACCTCCAGCCGCGCATTTGTGCTGGGATACACGGCCTAGGGTGGAGGGTTGGGGGGTATGCGTGACGTCGGCAGGCACACTGCGTCACGCTGCCGCATGCGGGTGACATGACAGAGTGGTGACGTTACCGCTCACTTGCGTGCAAAATATATTAATTATTGCACCTCCCCTTCCCCCCAAAATATACAAACGTCTATTTTTATAATTTTTGCATGGTGTACAGTCTGGAAAGTACCCACATGGCAAATTTTAAGTTTGTTGCATGTCGGGAAGTATGCTAAACATTTTGAACAGACACATATTCACAACTGTGCCTTTTACAGTGAGGGAAAAAAGTATTTGATCCCCTGCTGATTTTGTACGTTTGCCCACTGACAAAGAAATTATCAGTCTATAATTTTAATGGTAGGTTTATTTGAACAGTGAGAGACAGAATAACAACAACAACAAAAATCAAGAAAAACGCATGTCAAAAATGTTATAAATTGATTTGCATTTTAATGAGGGAAATAAGTATTTGACCCCCTCTCAATCAGAAAGATTTCTGGCTCCCAGGTGTATTTTATACAGGTAACGAGCTGAGATTAGGAGCAGACTCTTAAAGGGAGTGCTCCTAATCTCAGCTTGTTACCTGTATAAAAGGCACCTGTCCACAGAAGCAATCAATCAATCAGATTCCAAACTCTCCACCATGGCCAAGACCAAAGAGCTCTCCAAGGATGTCAGAGACAAGACTGTAGACCTACACAAGGCTGGAATGGGCTACAAGACCATTGCCAAGCAGCTTGGTGAGAAGGTGACAACAGTTGGTGCGATTATTCGCAAATGGAAGAAACACAAAATAACTGTCAATCTCCCTCGGCCTGGGGCTCCATGCAAGATCTCACCTCGTGGAGTTGCAATGATCATTAGAACGGTGAGGAATCAGCCCAGAACTACACGGGAGGATCTTGTCAATGATCTCAATGTAGCTGGGACCATAGTCACCAAGAAAACAATTGGTAACACACTACGTCGTGAAGGACTGAAATCCTGCAGCGCCCGCAAGGTACCCCTGCTCAAGAAAGCACATATACATGCCCGTCTGAAGTTTGCCAATGAACATCTGAATGATTCAGAGGACAACTGGGTGAAAGTGTTGTGGTCAGATGAGACCAAAATGGAGCTCTTTGGCATCAACTCAACTCGCCGTGTTTGGAGGAGGAGGAATGCTGCCTATGACCCCAAGAACACCATCCCCACCGTCAAACATGGAGGTGGAAACATTATGCTTTGGGGGTGTTTTCTGCTAAGGGGACAGGACAACTTCACCGCATCAAAGGGACGATGGACGGGGCCATGTACCGTCAAATCTTAGGTGAGAACCTCCTTCCCTCAGCCAGGGCATGGAAAATGGGTCGTGGATGGGTATTCCAGCATGACAATGACCCAAAACACACGGCCAAGGCAACAAAGGAGTGGCTCAAGAAGAAGCACATTAAGGTCCTGGAGTGGCCTAGCCAGTCTCCAGACCTTAATCCCATAGAAAATCTGTGGAGGGAGCTGAAGGTTCGAGTTGCCAAACGTCAGCCTCGAAACCTTAATGACTTGGAGAAGATCTGCAAAGAGGAGTGGGACAAAATCCCTCCTGAGATGTGTGCAAACCTGGTGGCCAACTACAAGAAACGTCTGACCTCTGGGATTGCCAACAAGGGTTTTGCTACCAAGTACTAAGTCATGTTTGGCAGAGGGGTCAAATACTTATTTCCCTCATTAAAATGCAAATCATTTTTTAATTTTTGACATGCGTTTTTCTGGATTTTTGTTGTTGTTATTCTGTCTCTCACTGTTCAAATAAACCTACCATTAAAATGATAGACTGATCATTTCTCTGTCAGTGGGCAAACGTACAAAATCAGTAGGGGATCAAATACTTCTTTCCCTCACTGTATATATATGGAGATTCGCACAACATACTCCAGGCTATTAACACAACATACTCTCGGGTGGTGACCACCCAACTAACCACGCTACGGAGGAACTAGACACGGTTGGGTCCACTATCCCGGTCCAGACCACAAGCTCGGTCCTGGACCACGTGGCTGGAGGCTTCTTCAAGCTTGACGTGGATCTCCTGCCTCTCCAACAGTAAGAACCCCGAGCCCCTCACAGGGCCCCTCTTATATCGGGCCGGGGCTGGCTCCGCCTCTCGCCCCGCCCACCTTCGCGATCTCTCTCGATGCCCGAAAGCTCTCGAGAGTTCTTCCCGGACCATGTGACCACCCATTGGCCCCCTCCACCGGTGGCCCCCCTCCAGTATCATCCGGTCACATGTCCCCAGGTCAGCCAGAGTATCATGCCCCCAACGTAACCCCAGCTGGCTGAAACTCTCTCAACGGGAGCCCGCACCGCAAGCTGTGCGTGGTGCCACCGCGCTGAACCAGCGCGCACCAAGCTCCCATTAGGGCTGGTACTACACCCCGTGTCCGGGGTGTACACACAACAGTAGACATCCCGTCGTGGCCTCGGAGGCCCGGCACCACACAGTGACACTACACTTATAGCAGCCAAATACTCTTAACGCACGTTAATTCTAAATATGGAGAGAGAAACCGAGAAGTCGGATAAAAATCAACACGACCACCGCAGAGAGAGAGAGAGACATGTAAATTCTAAATATACAGGCGTCAGGGTCGGGATTGAACCCACGACCTCCTGTATATGAGGCGAGGTAGTTAACATCTCCTAGCCACCGTGGTGCCCACATTTATTTCTTCAGAACCATGTTGGGGTCAGGCAGAGGGACAGGAGTACCTCGGTTAAAACTAAATTCAACAAGGGGCTACAGTCACCAAACAAAACAAGGTTGAGAACCACTGCAATTAGGCACCGGTTATTTTCACTCCGGCAAATCTGCCGTGATAATGTTTAAACTTAACTAAACTATTTTTATTTTACCAGGTAGATTCCACTGAGCTATACAGCTCTTTTTCAGAAGCGACCTAACCAGAAATGATAGCTCAACGAAGTGGCTTATTGTGGAAATTTATAGCAGCCAAACACTCTTAACCGGACGACCCAAAGAAAAATCCACGTGACCACTGGAAAAAAGACATGCAAACTGCAAATATACACCAGGCGTCATGGTCGGAATTGAACCCACGGCCTCCTGGGATTCGAACATAGCCTCCTGGGGATCTAACAAACGACCTTCTGGGGATCGAACCCATGGCCTTTACATCTCGCCACTGTGGCGCCCCTGATCCGGAATCGCTGGCTCTGACCACAGCGCCACCCGGTGGCTCACGCGGCGCACATTGACAACCAGCGCCGTGGTCCCCGTCTTCTCACTCAGTTTACCATGGGACCTCTTTGCCAGAATCAAGTATGTAAAATAAGAATAGGTTTTACACTTTCTGGCAATAAAACAGGAGGTGTTAAGATGTTCAAACACCAAATAAATGCCTTTTGCAAGGAACCAAGTCTGCATTCACCACGGGCACTTGTGGTGAACATGTTCTGATAATAATATATGCATTGTCTTTGAAACTCCCACTTTGTTTGCGCTGTTAACAGGATACACATAATGAATCCGCGACAGAATGAATGCTAAATTATGTCAATGTTTTAAGCCCATATATATTAGTGGGGGGTGGGGGGGTGGTGGGGGCGCCGCTGAGGTGCATGTCTCTGCACCATCAATGTCCCTTTGCCCCCCCCCCCAGTTCTGTCCTAGCAGTAGCACTGTCTTGGTGGCCCCCCACCAAACTGTTCTACAGGCCCCCTCCCCCCCCCCCTAGGGAAGCTGGCCCTGCTGACACGTGCGAGCTCGCGGGAGGCTGCAGCCCGAGCCCGGCTCCCCGCTGCCATCGCTGAGCTGCGACGTTGCGTGTTCCTTTTAGGCGCAGCCGGGCAGACGACGTCCGCTACGGCCGCCCCCGCCCAAACGTCGCCGAGCGGTGGCTCGCCCAGCTCCAATGGCACGCAGGCACCGCTCAGCTGCCATGAGGAGCTGAATGCATCGGTGGGCCAGTTCCGCTACGACACAAGCATGGGCCCCAGCTGCAGCTGGGACATTACTGTGCCCTCCGGAAGAGTCGTCACCATCGTCTTCTTCAGGTATGCTGACCAACCCCGCCCACTTTGCGTATGTACGTCTCGTGTTTTCACAATACGGAATTGATAGGACGCAATGGATGTATTCGGGAACACATTTTTCGTTTCATAACGCGGGTGCGAATTGGATATAACGCGATCGAGCTGAATGAAGCTACGTCACATGAGTAGGGATAAGCGGTCATATGGCTGCCTCGGCGTAGCATTACACGAGGCACTGGGATGCTGCTGGATGCTTCTAGATGCTACCCACACGCCACAGTCTTTGTTGAGCCTGTGTACACATATCACTTGTTATCACGGACTTATTTCCCCTATATTATATATGATTTATTATAAAAGCGATTTTTCCACAACGCGGTGTTCTTCAGGAACGCAACTACAGCGTTATAGGAGAAGAGACTGTAAGTATGTTGAACTTCTTTCGCACCGTACATAGCCAACCGTGCTAATCGGAGGTGCGGGGGAAGGACAGCAAGTTACATGGACCTGTTTTCTCAACTCTCAAGGAAGCGTCGGTGGCCTCGTTAAACCACAACATGGCCACACGTTCAGTTGGTTCTTTTGAGCTGGTGGTCTGGATAAGGTTGAGGAGAGACTGTACGAGTAATTCTGTGCACCTGTGTGTGTTGATCAATTATATTGGGAAAATTTTAATTTTACCAACATACAGATTATGCGATCTGAATATCGAACGCTCATTTTGCTATGGACTTGCTGCTGGGTGTGAGATTCACTCGGCTCAAGACAGCAGAACAGAGCTGTTTGTTCTCTGCCAACTGAAGTCTTCTCTGCCGTGATAATCGTTGCTTTTAAGAAATAAATATAATTTTCTCTGCTGTTTGGTTTAATGCAATTCTCTATGCCACCCACGCTTCCTTCTCAGCTCTTTGCCAAATATGGGCGCGTTACAAATTTAGCAGTGGCTCCAAGTCGACGCGGGTTGTTGCGTGAGCTGTGTTCCGCCCGTCCCCGCTGCCGCAGGACCGGCAACTGCAGCGGCAGTGTAACAGTTCGCGATGGCAGCAATGCCACCACGGAGCTGCCCCGGAGCTGTGCATCTGGCAACTACCACAGCTACTCATCGCCCGCCGGCGGCGGCGGCAGCACCGTGAGCGTCGCCGTCGACACAAGCCGCCTGGGTGGCAACTACTTCGACTTGAGCGGCTTCTACTACGCATCTCCAGGTGGGGCCTCTGGCTCACACCCACGCCACCCAACGGCGCATACGGCAGCTCTCCTGCGCCGGTCACCTGGCTCGCGAGTAAATCATTTGCGCTCTGCCGCTGCGTTCGTTCGTTCGTTTGTTTTACAGCCGATGCGCTCTGCGGAGGCGTCATCGAGCTGGCAGAAGAGACCATACTGTCACCGGGCTTCCCAGGCAACTACCCTAGCCGTGTCGAGTGCTTCTGGACTCTGTTGGCGCCACCGGACTACGGGTATACACTGTCCGTGTACGACTTCCGGTGGGTAATCTGACGCGGGCGGGTGCGCGATGCGTGGGTTACCGTGGATAATTAAAAATGTACTCACACCTCCGATAAGTATGGGTTGGCTACGTACGGTGCGAAAGAAGTTCAACATACGTACAGACATACATACGTGACATGGTCGCTCGGAGCAATCTGTGCGAGGCCCCCCGCTGTTCGGATTGTGGTCTTTGGCCTGGTCGATTAGAAGCGGCCCAAGCGAACATAGTCCACGCTCTACGGAGACATTGTGCTGTTAGGGCAGCTTCCAACCTGGAATCCAGACAGTGATACTCGGGCATTGCACAATGAAGGGTGCCAGCAATCAAAGGCGTTCTGCTGTGTGGAAGGGAAGAGCCCAATCGCAGCTCTCAACGGTGGAGCCGGGTGCAGTGTCAGGGTAGAGAGGAGCAGCGCAGCGCCGGGTGTTGGTTAGCCTGAAACCCAGCACTGTGGAGGCAGCAGCGAGGGGTAGTGGACCAAGGCATGACCGCAGCACAGCAAGCGAATTCATTTTCATCTGCTCGTGAACTGAGTGTTACCCACACTCTCATGCATGGGCTTTTTCCAGGAGCTCCAGTTTCCTCCTGTAAGTACAAACACTCATGAATGGAAGTTGAGCAAAGATCCCATTATAGGACCTCAGAGTTTCGGCAGTTGCTAGCACCGGTTCTGGTTGCTTTACCGCTCATTTGTGGGTTTTCCCGTGCATTTCTGAAAATGAATTAAAAAAACTGCGAGGCACGTTACACACTCAACAATGTTTGTACGTACGACCGCACTGAACACCACTTCTCTAATGGGGGAAACCAGGGTTCAGTTGCGTTACGGGGTAGTGCTGTAGCAGAACATTCAACATCTCGGGAGGGTTCCCAGTTCGCATCCTGGTTGAGAGATTAACACAGCCCATCATCACACAAGGGTGGATAAAGTTAGTGCCATGTTATTTTTTTCGTGGGAACACAACAGTGGTTGTCCTATGAATAGCCTAGGAACTGTCACAGTAATGTGGAATTTATACAACTGGCTCCAAATCTCTGCAGTTTAGGGTGGGTATGCTTTTTAGTAAATATCCATAAAGACCCAAGTAATGTCATACAGAAGTTTTCTCGACCAATAATACGATTCGTTTTTAATTTATTTTGAATGAGATAATTGTCGTATGATGTGTAAAAAAAATGAAAGTACGTTTTCCGCACGAGACCAAACCCAAAATAAATCGTGACTCAAAATGAAGCCTGGACCATTACGTGCGCGAAATGGATTTATCGGTAAAAAATGGTGCACTTTTTTTATTGGCTAATCCACTTCATTATCGGTGGGTGAACCGGTGTCCCCTCAAAGACTAATTCAATAGCTGCAATTGGACGGTTGTTCACTCATCGAGAAGTTCTTTCATGCAAATTGTTGCCTCGGTTTGAGCGAAGGACAACACAATGCATTCGCTCCGTCCGCCGTGCGCTCAACCGAAGCTGCCTCATCCTGAACTGGAACTGCTTCACAGCTTCTGCGGCCGTCTGGAACGCTCTTCCTACCGATATTATGAAGCCACTGGAGCTATACACTTTTAAATAATCTAGATTGAAAACTAATTTCTGTAAAACTGCCTTTTGTGTTTAATTTGTTGTCCTTCCCCCCGCACCTCCGATTAGTGCAGTTGGCTACCTACGTTGCAAAAGAAGTTCAACATACATGCACACATGTGTAAAGACAGTGCGGAGCGATAGCGGGACAGTATGGTTCCCCGGGACCATGGTTACGAATGGACTTGCTAATGATGATTGATGGGATGAGCGTTGACAGGGTCACGTGAGGGGGAGCAAGGGATCCAATGGCAGGAAAGTGTAATTAGGGCGGCGAAGAGAATTCGGGAATAAGGGCGTGGCCGGACCGAGCGAGGATAAGAACCGGCGTGAGCCGGAGCTGTGGGCTGTTTGGTGTGGGAAACCGTCGTCGTCGCCTTGGATCGGGTCGTCTTCATCGTCTGCGAGTTGTCTTGAGACTAGAAGCTATGTTGTCTCTGAGTAGAGTTGTCTCACTACCCAAGTGTACAGAGTCACTCGCGGTTACTTGCTGAGTTGTCAGTGGACTTTATTCATAATACATATACAGAAGACGGTGTCCCTTGAGAGCTACATTACACATGCACATACATCCAGGCAGTCGCCTGTGATCACCCTGAGTTCTTAAGTGACCAGAGTTGATGGTATTAGCCCAAGGGTTAATGAATGTGACAGCGGTTTTAATTGCAGTGTCACAGTCTCACAGTGTGGGGGGACAGTCCCTGGAACTTTGATTAGCACGGTTGGCTACGTACGGTGCAAAAGAAGATCAACATTCATGCATACGTACCGTGCGTGCCCTGGTATGCAGATGATAAAACGGCCGCTCTCTCAGGGTTTATCCCACGTTCTTCCACGGCCGTTCTCTGAAACCCAACCGCACTGCGCCGTGAGGTTTGGGAATCGATTCTTAGGCCTCGCAGCACGGACAGCCCAGTCGAGAAGCACTCAAAAAACCGTGAGCAGGGCAATGCGAATCACAGCAAAAGCAATCTGGTCGGTTTGAAAAGTTCCTTGATAGAGAGGAGCTAAAGATAGCTCGTATGTCTGTATTTGTGTACGTATGCATGTATGGGGAGGGGTAATGTCGCGTTTAGCACGCTGTACTACAAACCCAGGGACCCGAGTTCGATTCCCACTCATGGCCAACACCTGTGACAATTATCTGAAGCGGTTCTGGACCTCCCCTAGATCGACTCCCCCTCAAATGAGTACCTGGTGGATTGTAAAAACATTGCCACCTGGGAGACAAAAGCAGTCGGGCATGGCACTGGCCACCTACCGTTCGCGCTCATGAGCAGCACTCGCCCCGACAGTCTGTTCATGCTAGCCGAGATATTTGCATTTTTGTATGCACGTACGCATGCACATACATCTGTGTGTGTGTCTCCCACAGTGTGAATGCAGTCAATGGGTCAGAAAGCCCGAACCACCGGCCGGGATGTCTGGGCAATTCGGTGACGGTGTACAACGGCGATGGGGTGCACACACCCATCCTGGACGTGCTGTGCAGGAACACACAATCCAGCCAAATTTTGAAGTCCCAGGGAAGCATGCTGATCCACTTCAAGTCAGAGCTACAAAACCCCACTGGCTCATTCAACTTGAACTTCAGGCAGATCCGTACAGGTTCGTGCACCTTTTTCCCATCACATTTAGCCAGCCGTATGTGCTCAGACGTGATACACAACGGCAGCAATTGTAGCTGTTATGTTAGGCGCGGTACGTTGCAAATCAAAAGCAATAAAGTTCGTGGCACTTCCCACTGAAGTCAGCATTGAGGCATTGGTGCGCATGGGCGGGGAGACAATGGGGGGGGAGGAAGTGGGTAGATATAGGGGGAGAGAGTGAGGGTAGAGTAGACAATGGGGAAGTTGGGAGGAGGACTCTGCGTAGCCCATGCTGTGTACGCACAGTCCTCTTCCCAACTCCCCCATTGTCTACTCTACCCCCACTCTCTCCCCTTATCTCTACCCCCTTCATCCCCCCCATTGTCTGACTGGCTGCTCCGCCCATGCTGTTTACGCTGCATAAGCTCTCCTCCCCCCCAACTCTCGTCCCCCGCCCACTCACTTTGGAAACCCTTATAAGCAGTTGCATTTGGAGGCTTGCCCTTTTTTCTCTCCGCCTGATGAAGACCGCTTGTGTTGTGATCGAAACGTCGTGGGTTTTTTGCTCTTATTATTGTAAAAAAATGTATCTACGTGAGTTTACCGAAAGAACCAAAGAGCAAATCCTGCAGTCACGAAAGTTTTAAGTCAAAAATTTAGTTTTTAGTTCTTAAATATGTGCAGCTAGCCTGGTTAATGCTTCGGGGGTGCATCACCGAACTCTGCGCAACGTTCTCTTCACGGGTGGACCGTTATAGATCCCATGACGTCATTCACCGCAAGGGTGAGCCATTGTGTGCCGGCGACATCATCCAAATTTGTCAAATTGGAAAAATTACGCCGCAAATAAATGTTAAAGGCTGTTAAAATGTACGACACCTCAACAATGCCACCAATTTCTCACAACCAATTTTTGTAATGCATGCCCTGTGAATGCGCTCTCCCCGCAGTCTCGTGCGGCAGAACATTCAATGGGACGGACGGTTCATTCTCCACCAACTCGTCGACCCTCGACCCCTGCTACTGGCTGATTGAGACCAGCCTCGACAAAGTTGTTTCTCTGAGCGGCAATTTTTGTGGGTAAATTCTGCAACAACAAAAAACTATAGAACATTTTTTTATTTTACCAGGTAAGGCCCCACTGAGTTACGTAGCTCTTTTTCAGAAGCGACCTGGCCACAAATGATAGCTCAACGAAGTGGCTTGTCACGTGGAAATTTATAGCAACCAATTACTGTATGTTGATTCTAAATGTGGAGGGATAAGCCGAGGACCCGGAGAAAAATCTACACGACCACGGGGAGAACCTAAATATACAGGCATCATCAGGGTCAGGATCGAACCCACAACCTCTCCTGTATACCAAGCAAGGAAGTTAACATCTCGCTACCGTGGCACTCAAACAATCGGCTGTGGGACCGACACGATTGATTGTGTCGGGATTTGGCAGGGAACGGCACTGAAGGGCACCAAGTGGGACTGTGCAATGGTTGAGCTCCCGTTCATTTGCAGCCTAAACCCAAAAAAACACATTACAAAATCGGAATCTTAATTTCGACTGGTAGAATCCAATGAGCTATGAAGCTCTTTTTTTAATTTACAGATTATGATTCGGGGTAGCGTGCCGTGACCAGCCGGTGACACCACTTGGGAATTTCCATGTGTTTATTTGATTCTTTTTTTACCAAAAGCACAAACTCACGGCCGAATTCCCACGCGGACCCCAGAACCCACCCCATTGGCACCATGCGGGGTGGGGGGGGTGGGGGAGAGCTCACGGTGCTCAGCGCTCACAGCACTCACATCACTCACAGGGCTCACAGCTTCTGAGGAGGAAGCTGCTGGGGCCCTACTCAGCCCCCACCCCCCCCGGTACGGTGGTGGCGCGCGTGGTTACCTTACAGGGCAATCTCCTGCAGCACACGCCCGAATGCCATACCCCCCATCAGAGTCGCCATGACCACGGTGTGCCCGAGATATGTGTTGGAACATCTCCGCTGAAGGAGTTTACTCCTCCACAGTCTTGCACATTTACCATCGGAAGGCGAACTGAGCGAGGATCTCCATTCAGTTTGCTCACACCAATCTGGGGCTCTCCCAGCTGTTCCTCTCCTGCATAAATTATAAGATTGCACTCATTACACACGAAGTTCTGGACACAAATGAACCACAATATTCTGATCTCGTCAAGGAGCATAAACCATCGCACGGTCATCCCCGCGGCGGACAAAGCTGGGGCGCTAGCCATCCAACAAGGACGGTCACTGCATCACGCGCTTTCGGATGTGCTTCTGCGGCCATCTGGAGCGCTCTTCTGATATTAGGAAGCCACTGAAGATGTGCACTTTTTAATTTTTGATTGGAAACTAATTTCTTTAAACCTGCTTTTTGTGTGTAGTTTGTTATCCTTCCCCCGCACCTCCGATTAGCGCAGTTGGCTACGTATGGTACGAAATAAGTTAAACATACAGTACACACAAAGTACATTCCTCGTAATGGGCTGCGTGAAACCCGCTTCCCTGTACACGCGTTTTCTGGAAGAGCGAGTCTCGGACAAAATGAAGAGTTAAAAGTGAGGCGAGTTTCAATGGCATCCAGGAAAGTGTTGTCAGTACGGCGTTCCCTCATTATTCGCAGAGAGGAATACGTTCCGGAGATGCTGGTGAATGACAAATTTAGCGGATTTTTGTTTATGAATCCCCTTAAATAAATCTAAAAATAAGCCATTAAATACGTGAAAATTATCAATACAAATATGGTTATAATAAACAAAGTAAATAAAAATAAATATTAAAGTATTAAATAATAGTTTATAAATGGACTTACCTAAATTATGATGGTGCGCATCATCACTTTATCTCAGAATTTTCTCTTTCCCTCAACAGAGTCCGCGTAGAGTTCCAGATGTGATTCGCGGGTAGCCACAATCACGGACAGCGAGTCGGCGAATGACGTGGGAAGACTGCAGTACATGTACCGTAACCCTGGGATCGATCGACCGGGTCTCATCCTTCGCCAGGTCTTACGAGATCCATGACGGGCAGTCCATCGCAGCACCACTGCTGGGCAGCCATGGCGCCGGCTCCAACTGCGACTCCGTAAGCGCCCTCGCTTCCGGACCCGCGGTGGTGCTCGTCACCTACGACCGCTTCCAGGTCACCTACGAAGCAGCAGGTTCGTTCGTTTATTTTTCGTCCAAGCAATAAATCTATTCCTCTGCTCTTCCACGCACGCGATCGTGTCGAATCATTCATTGTTAGTTTTCTTTTAGGGGAAGGGGGCCGGGGGGGGGGGGGGGGGGGGGGTTCGATTGCTGTGTAGGTTTAATGTAAAAATTGTAATTATCTTCTTTGGTTCTTTCGGTAAAGTCACGTAGAATGAGAATAAAATAATAAAATAAAATAAGACAATGAAATTCTCACGACGTTTCGGCCACAACACAAGTAGCCTTCTTCAGGTGAAGGAACAAAACTGTTGGGACAACAGAGCTTCAATGAACGCTGCTAAGATGTGTAGCGTCTTTTAAGCTGGGTGAGAGAAGTGAGGCACCTTGACAAAGGAGTTTACATATCAAACAGGAGAATTTAGCATTGGAATAGCTGAGGGATTAGCTTGTGACTGGTCACAGAAATAGCTATGTTAAAGTCAAAGTTTACACATCAACAGTGGCACCTAGTACATGGACGCCAAAGGGGCTGCAACTACCCAACTATCATACAGTAAACCGATGTGAAAAACTAAGTCTAAATTACATCAATATAATAAATGTACTCAATATATTCTTCAATGAGCTGAGCTATTAACAGCAACTGTGTATACACTACCCTATATAATGAATTCCATATAGTAAACAGATAAAAAACTAAAATATAAACTACCTCAATGTTATCAATAAACTCTATATACTCCAATCAGCTGAGCTACCAACAATAAGTCGTTATATATCACAATGCTATATGGCGAAAAAATGGGTGGATTCTTCCCCTCAATGCCAGCACCACGGACAGCTACGAGCCCCGTTCAGACGGACGAGTCCATCCATGCTCGGAACGGAGGAGGGGGGAGAGAAACAGCTACGAAGCGCTGTTATACTCCATGTTATAAACCATACCATTAACCGTGGTGTGAGAGGTATTAATAGGCAATGCCAGCGAAAGAGCTGCGGTCTGAAGGTCACCGTAAAATACAATTAAGAACCGAAATGGTTTAAAACATATTCCCAATGGTTACCAAGCCAGAATCCATCTTTTCGGTTAAAATTGTCTCTGTGCTTGTATATGTGGATAGCCTCATGAACGAATCTCTCATGGTAGCCTGTTGGCTTGCAGAGAACCTCCGTCTTGGAGAAGTCAATGTTATGTGAGCCCACTGAATTATAACAGTGATCTGCCACGGCAGAGGAGTTCGTCCTACCGTGTTTCAAGTCTGCTTTATGTTCGCGGATGCGGTCCGAGATATGTTGTTTGGTTTCTCCAATGTAGCTACTACCACAGAGGCACTTTAATTTGTAAACGCCCGGGTACTGTAGGTCTGGAACAGCATATTTTACAGATGGAACCAGATCACAGATTTTATGTACTGTGTTGAATCGGACCTGGATCTTGTGTTTATTCAGGATTTTGGAGATCTTTTTAGTGACCCCTGCAATCTAGGGTAAGGTGATGGTTTTTAGTGGCTCCACAAGAGGATCCTTCTTCATGACTGGAGTGATGGCTTTGCGGATTGTGTAGTCGGAGTAACCATTAGCCCTGAGAGCCTGGTGTACGTGCTTGAGTTCACTGGTAATGTGTTCCTGGTCGTAAATGCATTGAGCTCCATGGTATAGAGTCGTGATAAGGTTGGGCGTAGAGTGGCAGTCTGGATGGCGTACTGATGTACCCCCCCTGGTGAGACATTGCTTAACCAACAAATACTTCACCTGGAATGGAACTTTCTACAAACAGACTGAGGACACCCAAATGGGCTCCCCCCTGTCTCCGGTTGTAGCCAACGTATTCATGGAAAAATTTGAAACTGACGCTATCCAGACTGCCACTCTACGCCCGACCTTATGGAGGAGGTACGTGGATGACACTTTTGTCATCTGGCCACATAGCCAGCCTGCTCTAAACCAATTCCGGGACCACATCAATTCCATACACCCAGCCATCAGATTTACCATAGAGGTGGAAAAAGATGGCAAGCTACCCTTTTTGGATGTCTTAATTAAAAGGAGACCTGATGGCTCAATGAGCCACTCTTGTCTACAGGAAAGCTACCCATACAGATGCTTACTTGAAACCGGATTCCCACCACCATCCATCCCAGAAGAATTCCCTCATCACGACTCTATACCATGGAGCCCAATGCATTTACGACCAGGAACACATTACCAGTGAACTCAAGCACGTACACCAGGCTCTCAGGGCTAATGGTTACTCCGACTACACAATCCGCAAAGCCATCACTCCAGTCATGAAGAAGGATCCTCTTGTGGAGCCACTCAAAACCATCACCTTACCCTACATTGCAGGGGTCACTATAAAGATCTCCAAAATCCTGAATAAACACAAGATCCAGGTCCGATTCAACACAGTACATAAAATCCGTGATCTGGTTCCATCTGTAAAATATGCTGTTCCAGACATACAGTACCCGGGCGTTTACAAACTAAAGCGCCTCTGTGGTAGTAGCTACATTGGAGAAACCAAACGACATATCTCGGACCGCATCCGCGAACATAAAGCAGACTTGAAACACGGTAGGACGAACTCCTCTGCCGTGGCAGATCACTGTTATAACTCAGTGGGCTCACATGACATTGACTTCTCCAAGACGGAGGTTCTTTGCAAGCCAACAGGCTACCATGAGAGATTCGTTCATGAGGCTATCCACATATACAAGCACAGAGACAATTTTAACCGAAAAGATGGATTCTGGCTTAGTAACCATTGGAAAGATGTTTTAAACCATTTCGGTTCTTAATTGTATTTTACAGTGACCTTCAGACCGCAACTCTTTCGCTGGCATTGCCTCTTAATACGTCTCACACCACGGTTAATGGTATGGTTTATAACATGGAGTATAACAGCGCCTCGGAGCTGTCTCTCTCCCCCTCCTCCGTTCCGAGCATGGATGGACTCGTCCGTCTGAACGGGGCTCGTAGCTGTCCGTGATGCTGGCATTGAGGGGAAGAATCCACCCATTTTTTCGCCATATAGCATTGTGATATATAACGACTTATTGTTGGTAGCTCAGCTGATTGGAGTATATAGAGTTTATTGATAACATTGAGGTAGTTTATATTTTAGTTTTTATTGGTTTACTATATGGTATTCAATATATAGTGTAGTGTATACCCAGTTGCTGTTAATAGCTCAGCTTATTGAAGAATATATTTAGTACATTTATTATATTGATGTAATTTAGACTTAGTTTTTTCACATTGGTTTACTGTATGATAGTTGGGTAGTTGCAGCCCCTTTGGCGTCCATGTACTAGGTGCCACTGTTGATGTGTAAACTTTGACTTTAACATAGATATTTCTGCGACCAGTCATAAGCTAATCCCTCAGCTATTTCAATGCTAAATTCTCCTGTTTGATATGTAAACTCCTTTGTCAAGGTGCCTCACTTCTCTCACCCAGCTTAAAAGACGCTACGCATCTTAGCAGCGTTCATTGAAGCTCTGTTGTCCCAACAGTTTTGTTCCTTCACCTGAAGAAGGCTACTTGTGTTGTGGCCAAAACGTCGTGAGAATTTTATTGTCTTATTTTATTTTATTATTTTATTCTCATTCTACATGACTTCACCGAAAGAACCAAAGAAGATGAATCCTTGCAGTCACGAAAGCTTTAAATCGAAATTGTAATTATCTCTATAAAATATTTTATTCCACATCATACATTGCAATATTCTGACATCCTGGGTGGTAGTGCCAGGGGCATCAACGGTATCAGGCACACTGGACTCATCACAGTAGGCGGAGGGGGGGGGGGGCGGTTCCGATTTTCTTTGGGGGTGGGGGGTTGGCCGGTCATTGCTGTTCTGGGTTCAGGTGTTTAAAACTGGTCTAAGGTTTAGGTGTTTGACTGATCTCTTGGGTTTAGGAATGGACCCCATGTTCCTGTCTACTTTTCTTCTTTGCATCTGAGCATATAGCTCAGCTGCTCCAGTGCTGAGATTGGGCCTAATAACTTCAGCCATTGAGTATGGTGGGGGGGGGGGGGGGGGTTGTGATTCTTCCACGTGCTCATATGGCTTTCCTGGCCACTAAATTAAAAGTCCTTAACAAAACGTTCCGTTCTCACGTCAGCCCCGACAGGGCCATTCAAGTCAAATTGTCACGACATGAGTATTGAAAGCAAGCTAAATGTTGAACATGCGTGCACTGTGTTTCCAGAAAAGCGCACGTCCTTAGACTGTGACTTTGAGCTTGGGTTCTGTGGATGGACGCCCGTGGATGAAGATCAGTTCCACTGGGGGATCTACAAGCACCGCCAATCCACGAATCCCTACGGCGACCTCTACCCATCCAGTGAGCATCTTGGTTTCCCCTTGCCGTAGAGAACTCGTGCCTTGTGATTTGTTACGGTCATCCCTGGCACGCTGCGCTCGGCAGGCTGCGGACGGCAGGCTTCACGCGGCACGCTGTGTGTGGTAGGAAGCGTGTGGCTGCATGTGTAGGAGCCCTTTATGCCTCTTACACAGGCCGCAGAGCATGAGTGATTCCCCGGCATGGCGCCCAAGCATGTTCCATCATGAAGAAAGTGTGCGAATTCTGCCGTGCGATGCTTATCCGGTGACGTGGCCCAGCGGTGTCGTGGTCGCCCTTTGACGCAGAGGTTTACGGTTTGAATCGAGAAGGCCACCCTAGTTTACACTGTGGTCATGTGTTTGATCAAAAATATGCGCCGTCTGCTTCTCTGTGGAGGTTAAAGATCACATCGTGTCATTTGAAAAAGTAGGCCATTGTGCGTATGTTTGTATATATGTGTATGATTAAATCTTTCGCACCGTACGTAGCCAACTGCTAATTGGAGGTGCGGCATGGGTCCAGATTTCGCCAAATTCGGAAAAAAATAACCTGCAAATTATTCTAAAGGGAATGCACGTAGCAATAATCGCCCCCTACTCACACATTGTTGCCCACTTGCAGGCCAATGCTGAGTCACCTTGTGCCGAACAGGGACAACTGCCACCAGTTTTCAGTCCAGAAGTCAAATCAACTGAGTAAAAATGCTACATTCTGTCATGCGAACACAGCTGATAATCCTAGACTCTCTGGGTCTGAACAGGAGAGGTGGCAACGGTCCTCACCTGCCCTGGCGGGTTTGGGCTTGCATTGTGCCTGATCAGTGGGAATCAGAATATCAGAATCAGAATGTTTATTTATACTGGAGTTATAAAGATCGTTTTCGCAAATGTCCAGTTGGGGCAGGTAAGAATGCTACACACAACAAACAATATAAAAACAGATAGGAGTGCAAAGTACAAGAAAGGTAAAAACAAAACTCAAACGCATGATCGATACATTCCGCTCAGCCACAGTGGCCAAACAAAGTTTCCGGGAGACTCAAGCCCGCGGTCGTGCGGTATTCCTTCCATGCAAGGTGGCTCTTTCGTTGGGCTCATCAGCCCTGAGACCCAGTCTACGTGGAGTCTGCTCAGCCCTCCTGTGGTGAACACAAGCGGCTCCCAGTGCCTGAGCTTCTGGTTCCGAATCAGCGGGGCTCTCGGCTCCCTGGGCTTGTACGCGACGGACGGCAGCTCCTCGCAGCGCTCTCTGCTATGGGAGGCCTTCCCCTTGCCTGGCATTCGCGAGCGCTGGGGCACCGGGCTCGTCAATATCAGCTACATGCACTACCAGGTACGCACTGACAGGTACACACTGCCTGATACACACTGCCTGATACAGGCGTGGGGGGTTGTTCACAATACTGCTGCTGTGTGTGTATGGTTTTGTATTTGCTCATCATGAAACACGAGGCTGAGAGCATCTGTGTGGAGTTTGTTACCTCTCCGCTGTCCTGCGTGGCTTTGCCCCCGGCGCTTTCTCATTTCCTACTCCCATAGCCAAATAAACAATCACTCACGGTGCATGCAACTGGTGCTGGCCAAAACATCCCAATGAAAAATTACCTGTTAATTACTCAATTGGGATCACACACAGCAGCAACATCATTGCCCCCCTACTGTGAGAACACGGCATAACCCTCCTGGATAAAGAAAAAATAGTTTTGAGACTCAGCGAGGCGTTACTGGGTAAACAAGCGGAGTAATACACGATGTACATGCAAGGTGGTGGTCACGTGTACGTGCGTATGTTGAACTTCTTTCGCACCATACGTAGCCAACCGTGTCGATAATAGAGGTGCTTGGGTTTGATCGCGTATATATAAATACGTCATTAAACCCGCCACCACCCGACACAGCCAGTTAGTAAGGTTTGTCACGTAAACCAAACAGTTCGTAACTAGTTCAGCACACCGGTGTGTTGGAGAGTAAACGCACAACATTTACAATTCGAGTCCGACGTTTTTCCAGTAAATATAACGAGTATCATCAGGCGACAGCCAGATTTGACGACATTTCTATTTACGCGATCTAACCCAAAAACCTCTATTACAACCAACCGTGTTATGTGACTCATTGACCCGCCCCCCATACTGGACATCTGTTGACAAGAAAAAAGAGCTTCATAGCTCATCGGATTCCTTCCCCAGGGATAAATAAACATTCCGATTGGAACACACGCAACGCGATGACGCCGATTACGATGACGGCACGCGGCAATGGCAAAGACGATTGGCTCCTGACCTCTGTTCGCAGCTGGAGTTTGTGGCCGACTCGCACGCCCAGACACTCTACGCCGCGGAGCTGGATAACGTTCGTCTGACCGAAGGAGAATGCCCCCCAGGTGTGCGCTGAGAAACACCCTCACCCCCCTCCCCGATTTTATTTTTTCATCATCATCTTGAGCCATGAGCAGATAGCCTGTTAGGTGTCCACTGCATTTGCCTTTGTAATCCATACACTAGGGGCGCACTTACCCCCCCTCACCCTGCTACAATGAGAGAGATGTTTATCACTTGGTCTCTAAGGTGTGGGGATGCAGTTCTTCTATGCATTCCCAGGTCGAGACTTCGGTCTATGGGTGACCAAGATTTGTCCCCGTGTAGGCCCCAGGCTATGGAACATTCTTCCACAACATATCAGGGATCTCCGAGCTGTGGACATTTTTAAAATGTGCCTCAGATCCTCTTATACGCTTCCGCTTATTCATCTTTTAGTTCATTCAGTAACTGGATTCTTAAAATGTATTTATAATATAATTATTTTTTATGCTTCGAGTCTGCTGCTGCTGTGTCATGTACAGCACTTTGATATCCCTGATGAAAAGCGTGAAATGTTAATGGGATTATTATTATTGACATGAAAAGCTCAAAATTTAAACATTTCAGCCAAATGAAGTGAAAACCCAAAACTGGAACACGACTTTAGGTTCCCGTGCACTTCTGCGTTTCCGTGTGGGATGAGACCAGCTGGCTGCATTGAAAACGCAGTCCCCCCCCCACCTCTCCCCCCCCCCCCCACGGGAAGGGGGTCACTGAAACCCAGGGTCTCGGCGGTGCCAGGCGCGGTGTCTCTTCCCCCTCGAGCCACCTCACCTCTATAACAGAGCCAGTTGCAGTCTCATTTGGTTGCTGGCGATGATTTTCATTGGCCCAGAGTCACTCGAGTTGTTGCACGCAAATGTCTGTCTTACGGTGGTGTTCCTTTTATAAAATGTTTTTATTCTATGTTGCTTTATTCAGTTTTATTCGTTAAGGGTTTGCGAAGGGTTGGCTTATTTTATGTGCTATGTATGTATGTTGAACTTATTTTGCACCGTACGTAGCCAACCATGCTAATTGGAGGTGCGGGGGGGAAGGGCAACAAAAATGGGCACAAAAGCAGTTCTAAAGGAGTGTGTTTTAAATCTAGATGATTTCAAAGTGCATAGCTCCACTGACTTGCTAATATCAGAAGGAAGAGCGTTCCAGACAGCCACAGAAGCGCATCTGAAAGTATCGCGCAATGGCGGTGACCGTCTTTTGTTCGATGGCTCACCAAAAGTGACCGCAGTCTGAGTGATGCGCTGTATAAATCACAAATCAGTGAGTTAGACCTTGGACTTCTTTCTTTAAATATCAACATATTCCATTTTACACCCTACACATAGTCCAGACCCTCTGCACAGCCATTTTCACTCCTCGTGTCTCCACGGCAAAAGTAAAATCTGTAAAATTTACAATCACAGTAACCATCGCTAGTGTGATCAGTGTTTCTGTGCGCGCGCAACTTAGATTGTTCATCTCTTTGACTGACCGACAGCTCCCGGCCCGTGCTACAATCAGCTAAGCGGCCCGGCGGGAAGCCTCGAATCGCCGCGGGTTTTGGAAAGCGACAACGACGCCTGCGTGTGGTTCATCAGCGCCGCCTCCCAAATGAGGATTCGCCTCTCCCTGACCTTGAGCAGGTTCGCCTCTCTCGCATCGACAAAACGCACGGAGCACGGTACACCCAGTCTCCCCGGACAGAGCGTGATCGTTGCCAGGTGTTTCGGAATCATCCGGTAATGGGTGCTGCTGCGTTGGCATTGGTGGCGCAATCACAACCAACAACAACGTTTGTCAATAACAGTGGGACGCGTGCGAGCCAGGGGTATGGCTTCTCAACGTTCACGGGAAGGGTGCGTCAAGGAGGGATTAGCATGATTGGCCGCATATGGTGCTAAAGATGTTCGGCATACATACAGTACGTACAAAGAAGGGAGTTTTGCGGCCGCTACGTGCAGAGCGTAGTCACCGGCGCCGACGATCCGCCACGTGGTGTCGCAGGGTGCGACGGAGCTTCGTGAGATGACGCCGCGTCCCCCCAACCCCCCCACCTCTGCAGCACGACGGAGCGCAACGGCAGCGGCGGCGTCGCGGATTCGTGCCAGGAGGAGGGCGCCGCCGTCGCTGTCGCCGTGCTGCGCTCCCGGGCGCTCGCCGATCTGCCCAGCAAGGTGACGCCGGTGCGCGTGTTGTGCCGCCCGGAGTCTCTGGCCCTCACGGCACTGGACGGAACCGTCGTCGGGATCAGCCTCCCCGCGTTCCAGAGCCACAATTACACGCTGACCGCGACGTTCACGGGTGAGGGCTATAACTCTGAACAATCGCTGCAGTCATTGCTGCTGATGCAGATTATTTAGATTATTTTGCTACGATAAATTTGAAAAGCCACTTCGTGAATCTATCATTTGTGGCGAGATGTTAACTGTTTTGCCTAGTATGTAGGAAGACGTGGGTTTGATCCCGACCCTGATGCCTGTATATTTTGAGTTTGCGTGTTCTCCCCGTGGTTGTGTGGATTTTTCTCGAGGTCCTCCAGTTTTTTTCTCCACGTTTAGAATTGATGTCAAGAGTTTAAGAGTATTTGGCTGCTCTAAATATGCACATGATGATGAGCCACTTCATTGAGCTATCATTTGTGGCCAGGTCGCTTCTGCAGCACCGAGCTCCGGCCTCACTGCACTCCGTAGAGTTCACCGTAGAGCAGTCTGGGTGATTGATGATCCAGCAGCCACAGATTCACTCCAGCCACTTGCTCACCGCTGGCTGGTCAGGAGCCTGCTTGTCACTTTTCTATCGCTACCACCATGGTTACCGTTACCCTGAACTTCACCCAATCGAGTCATTCACCCATTGTGTTTCGTCTCATCCACTGTGGCCCGAGTTCATCATCCTCGACACAGGTCGCAACAACACCCCCTCTCACCCACTCACCCGCTCACTCACCCTCCCACCACACTGCAGGTCACAACAACATCCCCACTCACCCACTCACTCACTCACCCACTCACCACCCTGCAGGTCACAACAACATCCCCACTCACCCACTCACTCACCCGCTCACCACACTGCAGGTCACAACAACACCCCCACTCAACCATTCACTCACCCTCTCACCACACTGCAGGTCACAACAACATCCCCACTCACCCACTCACTCACCCACTCACCACCCTGCAGGTCACAACATCCCCACTCGCCCACTCACCCACTCACTCACCCTCTCACCACACTGCAGGTCACAACAACATCCCCACTCACCCACTCACTCACCCACTCACCACCCTGCAGGTCACAACAACATCCCCACTCACCCACTCACCCGCTCACTCACCCGCTCACCACACTGCAGGTCACAACAACACCCCCACTCAACCACTCACTCACCCACTCACCACACTGCAGGTCACAACAACTCACCTACTCACCCGCTCACCTGCTCACACACCCTCTCACCACACTGCAGGTCACAACAACATCCCCACTCACCCACTCACCCACTCACTCACCCGCTCACCACACTGCAGGTCACAACAACACCCCCACTCAACCACTCACTCACCCACTCACCACACTGCAGGTCACAACAACTCACCTACTCACCCGCTCACCTGCTCACACACCCTCTCACCACACTGCAGGTCACAACAACATCCCCACTCACCCACTCACTCACCCACTCACCACACTGCAGGTCACAACAACTCACCTACTCACCCGCTCACCTGCTCACTAGCCCTCTCACCACACTGCAGGTCATAACAACACCCCCACTCACCCACTCACCCACTCACTCACCCACTCACTCACCCTCTCACCACACTGCAGGTCACAACAACACCCCCACTCACCTGCTCACTCACCCACTGACCACAGCACAGGTCACAACAACACCCCCACTCTTTCACCACACTGCAGGTATTTTTTTAATGTGTGTGCAGTCACGGATGTTAAATTGGCCACCTTCTCGTTGAGACCTTCTTCTCTCGAACTAGACAAGGCCAAAGTCACTTATCTGTCGCAGCTCCAGTGTCCTGGTACTTATTCCCTTAATAGACTCACACAGAGACCCATAGACTCACACAGAGACCCATAGACTCACATAGAGGCCCTGTCACAGCTCCAGTCGTGTGGAACTCATTCCACCCTCCTCCTCTCTCATTGCGCTGCGCATTAATTGCAGAGTCGTCGCTTCTGTCAGGATCTGAAGACTACCCTCCCCCCCTTCAATTGATTCTCCTGCGCTTCTGAATGCGCCTCTTTTGAAGTTTAACGTGCACACCACTAGACAACATTTTTACTCACGAATGACGTCGCAGAAATCCCCTGCATGGAGGAGCTGATGGGGCCCAGCGGTGTGGTCCAGTCGTTCAACTTCCCGAGTGACTACGAGAACAACGAGAGCTGCAAGTGGCTGATACGCGCGGTGGACGACCACAACATCCGGCTCTCCTTCACCAACTTCAGGTACCAAGGCCGGGCTTGCCGGTGAGACCCCCGAAGGTAAAAAAATCGCTGCAGAGTTTGCTTGCTTTAACAAACGTTGCTGTGAGACACCGGTCCGGCAAACGACTCGGCCGATGGCCTAAAACTGAGTTTAGTTTTGTTACATGGAGACAGATGAAAGGAGGTCTGTCTCTGAAACTATCATTATTACAGTTACGTACCTGGCAAGAGTGTCGTGCTATTTGGAGAAGACTCTGCGTACCGCGGAAACGTCTCCCACCCCAGCCCCCCCCATTGCTGCGATGCTGCGTTGACGTGCCGTGAGGAGGCGAGCCTGAAGCTGCACATATCTCCCACAGCCTCGAGACGAACTACGACTTCGTGATGGTGTACGATGGCGACTCGGATGGGTCACCTCTCCTGGGCACGTTCACTGGCCTCTCCATGCCCGGCAACGTCTACTCGACGGGGAGCACCCTTCTCGTCGCCTTCACCAGCAACGCCTACGAGACGTTCTCAGGCTTCTCCGCGCGCTACGAGAGTGAGAGCCGCTCCTCTGCCGGGCCACTCCTGAGCCATGCCGCTCCACTTATACAGTGCCGTGGCCATCTCCTCATTGGCCTGGCGGTGTTAGGTTGCTACCGCCGTCACGTAACGATCGGCAGACCGACCACCACCGCCGCCACTGCCACCCAGCATCACAGACAAGCAAATGCTCTGACACATAATAGTAGTAGGGCTTTCGCGACCAATCTTATCCATAAGAGATTTTTTTTGGGATTAGATCTTGAAAATATAAATGTCTCGTTAAACCCACCACCAACTCGATACGGTCAATGAGTAAGGTTTAACGCATAAGTAAAACGTGCCAATTGGTTACTAGTACAGCACACTAGTTGTGTGTTGGAAAGTAAACCCACACAATTTACAATTCAAGTACTATGACATTTCACCGGTAATTACAACAACCAGCCTCATCAGGCGACAGCCAGAATTGTGGAGAAATCCTCCTGGTTCGGTCTTAAATAGAGGTGAATGTGATGTTGTCACTTGTGAAGACGAGAGGGGCGGAGTTAATGTAGTCCTAGAAATTATAATGAATATCGGTTATTGATTGGTGTTATTCACAGTTAATCAACATACATAATTTATGTACATTATGCATGTACATTATGTGCCTACATTATGCCCGATCGCAGTCATTTCAGCTCGCTTCCCTGGTTTAAGGCGGAAGAAATTTCTCGTTGCTGCTCAATTCTGTTATTGGATAAATTATGTTTCGGTTGAAACTGTGCCTACGCATTCTCAGATGGTCAGGATGAAGTCCAGCAAGTTCAAGATGAGTGATTGTGTACAGGCAATCCCCGGTTTACACACTTTTGTGGTACGCCATTTTGGAATAGCGCGTGCTTTCTAACCCTAACCCGTAATAACGTCATCCGCAACGCAACATACACGCCACCCCCAGCCTGGCACCGCCACCCAATGGCGTTGTAGCAAGAGAACACAGGTATGTGAAGAATTAAGGACCGAGTATTGTATTGTGGACATGTATTGTATTGATATAGGCTAGGATAATATAGGCGATTATGTCTGCGAGTGTAAGTGAAATCCCCTAACCCCCTCCTTTACTATTATTTCTCATGGGAAAATAGCTTTTGAGATACGCGCATTTTCCCAGGAACGCATCTATTGTGCATGTCAAGGAGTGCCTGTAATTGGAGTTGGAGACGCTGCTGCTGAGACTGGAGGTGGGGCCTTACCATCAGCCCCACCAAAACTAAGCACCTGCCTGGGTATTTTATACCATCGGACACTCCACCCCCACAACTCCCAATCGGTGATGGGGCAGTTGTGGAGAGAGTGGAGAGTTTCCCATACCTGGGCAGTGTGCTTATGACCGGCTCCAGTTTAACAGCAGAGGTCTCACTCCGAATCAGTAGAGCGGCAATATCTTTTCATCGGTTGCGTAACGCTGTGTGGAAGCTACCTGGTCTGTCGCTCCGCACTAAGCTTCAGGTCTTCTCGGCCATGGTCATTCCCTCCCTTCTCTACGCTTGCGAAACATGGACCCCCCTAATGGAACATCTTCGCCAGTTAGAAACATTTAGGCTGGCCTGCCTACGATCCATCCTGGGTTTAACCAGACTGGATTGCGTGAGGAGCTCACAAATCCTTGAAAGATCTGGGCAAGGTCCCATTCGTGAGCTCCTCCGGCGGGCAAGGCTGCAATGGCTGGGTCATGTAGCCCGCATGCCCAGCCACCGCATGCCGAAACAGCTTTTGTTCGGCTGGATTGAAGGGGCTAAACGGGCGTGGCACGGGCTAGAGAAGAGATGGAGTGATGTGGTACAGGAGGACGTGGAGCTGAGTGGACTTGCCGATGACTGGTACCAGCGGTGTCAAGATCGGCCTCTGTGGAGGAGGCTCGTGAAGGACGCTACTGGGCAGTTGGAGGTAGTCGCCCTCCAACAACAACGGAGGGCGGAGGAGCGACACTCACAACAACGAGCGGAGCGCCGGGTGGCTAAAGCACAGCAGGTTGGCACAGTAGGGAGCACAGGTGGTGCATCAGCCAGTCATCTCAGTCAGTCGACCCGGGGCACCTGGGTCTGCCCCGTGACCTCCTGCCAGCGGGCGTTCGACACTTTACGTGGCCTCAGGGTGCACATAGCCTGGCACAAGCGTCGTGGTGACGTCACCGCCACTTAGTGGTGAATGGCGGTTGTTGTTGTTGTAATTGGATGGGTTCCGCAGGATTGGAAGGATGCCCTGGTGGTCCCCCTCTTTAAGAAGGGGAACCGCACAGACTGTTACAACTACAGGGGCATCTCACTCCTCAGTGTGCCGGGAAAGGTCCTGGCAAGGATTATTCAACATCGCCTTGCCTGGCACGCTGAGGAGAGGCTTGCGGAGCCCCAATGCGGTTTCAGGAAAGGGCGGTCCTGTACAGATGCCATATTTTCTACACATCTGCTACAGCTACAGCAGAGGTGTAAGGAATTCAAGCAAGACCTACATCGTTGCTTTATTGACCTGGTCAAGGCCTATGATACCATCAGTAGGCCTGGGCTCTGGGTTATTATTCGTGCTTTTGTAGTCCCTGACCCTCTGCTCACGATCATTAAGGACCTTCATGATGGTGCGCAGGCCCGGGTAAAACTACATGGCCGGGAGTCAGAGCCATTCCCTGTACACCTTGGAGTGCGACAGGGATGTGCTCTGGCTCCCACATTATTTAACATCTATTTTGACCACGTAGTACTGGGGGAATCTCCATTTGGTACAGATATAATGGGAGGCTGATCGATGCCCGGGTGCGGTCAAGGGATGGCTCCCTATTGCTCAACCACGTTATGTATGCCGATGATTTGGTAATAGCTGTTCATTCAGAGGAGGAGTTGGAGACGCTGCTGCTGAGACTGGAGCGTGCCACTAAGAGATATGGGGCCTTACCATCAGCCCCACCAAAACTAAGCACCTGCCTGGGTATTTTGTACCATTGGACACTCCACCCCCACAACTCCCAATCGGTGATGGGGCAGTTGTGGAGAGAGTGGAGAGTTTCCCATACCTGGGCAGTGTGCTTATGACGGGCTCCAGTTTAACAGCAGAGGTCTCACTCCGAATCAGTAGAGCGGCAATATATTTTCATCGGTTGCGTAACGCTGTGTGGAAGCTACCTGGTCTGTCGCTCCGCACTAAGCTTCAGGTCTTCTCGGCCACAGTCATTCCCTCCCTTCTCTACGCTTGCGAAACGTGGACCCCCCTAATGGAACATCTTCGCCGGTTAGAAACATTTAGGCTGGCCTGCCTACAATCCATCCTGGGTTTAACCAGGCTGGGTTTAACCAGGCTGGATTGTGTGAGGAGCTTACAAATCCTTTAAAGATCTGGGCAAGGAACCATCGGTGAGCTCCTCCGGCAGGCAAGGCTGCGTTGGCTGGGTCATGTAGCCCGCATGCCCAGCCACTGCATGCCGAAACAGCTTTTGTTCGGACGGATCAAGGGGGGCTAAACGAGCGCGGCACGGGCTAGAGAAGAGATGGAGTGATGTGGTACAAGAGGATGTATAGCTGAACGGACTTGCCAATGACTGGTACAAGCGGTGTCAAGATCGGCCTCTTTGGAGGAGGCTCGTGAAGGACGCTACTTGGCAGTTGGAGGCAATCGCCCTCCAACAACAACGGAGGGTGGAGGAGCAACGCTCACAACAACGAGCGGAGCGCCGGGTGGCTAAAGCAAAGTAGGTTGGCACAGTAGGGGGCACAGGTGGTGCATCAGCCAGTCATCTCAGTCATCTTAGTCAGTTGACCCGTGGCACTTGGGTCTGCCCCGTGACTTCCTGCCAGCGGGCGTTCGACACTTCACGTGGCCTCAAGGTGCACATGGACTGGCACAAGCGTCGTGGTGACGTCACCGCCACTTAGTGGCGAATGGCGGTTGTTGTTGTTGTAATTGGATTTAAGAAGGTGGGGAGTGGTAGTGAAGCGATTAGCACGTTGCGCTACGAACCCGGTAACCCGAGTTCGATTGCCCGCTCATGGCCAATACCAGTAACGATTATCTTAACCAGTGCTGGGCGTTTCCTAGGTCGACTCAGCCTCAAATGAGTACCTAGTGCAGGGTATAAACATCACCACTTGGGAGACAAAGGCGGCCAGGCGTGGTATTGGCAACCCATCCCCTCGTGTGCCGTACCGGCCTTCATGATTGCTCGCTAACAGCATTTGTCCCAACAGTTTGTTAAGGCTATACGGGGGATCTTTGTCTTTGTAATTGGATTTAAGGAGGTCGGAATGTAATCGCGTGATTGGACTGAAGAAGGTTTCACGTTTCCTTGATGTTTTCCGAAAGGATTCGGAAGCGCATCTCTCTCTCTCTCTGCGTGCAGCGTTTCGCAGATGTTCCCTGAGTCTGTACGGAGACTCGGGCAGCGTGAACAGCTCCTCCTCTGCCCAGCTGAGCTCCTTCACCACAGGCTTCTGCACGATCACCATCGACGTTCCGTACGGCTTCCTCGTTAAGGTGCACTTCCGCTTTTTCAAGTAAGTTCCCATTTACTGAAGAAAATCTATATATTTATACGTGTTGTTTTTTTACATTCACAATAAAGGTTTTTGGGTTAGATCGCGTTATTTATAAATTTGTCGAAACCCTCCACCACCCGACACGGCCAATCAGCAAAATAAAGTGTCACGTTGACAAAAGACAAATAGTTCACTACTTTAGCCCACCGGTGTGTTGAAGAGTGAATCCACAACATTTACAGTTTGAATATGACGTTTTGCTGGTAATTACGGTTTTTAAAAATGTATTCAATATCTCAGCGGAGATACAAAACAAAGCAAATACCGAGGGGCCGCCCCCTCCCTCGCACCGCGAAGGCTCCGCTCGGCCACCGACACGTCTGCAGGACCGGAATCGCTCCCGACACAGCACTTGCCACATCTGTGCATGCAGGGGCTGCCCCCCCCCTCCCGCCTCACACGCCCTCCCCCCCGGGTGCCAGAAAAGGGCCCCCACCCCCCGGCCGCCCTAACCCACCCTGGGCAGCGGCCACTTCCATCTTTCCCTCGCGGCCTCGTGTCCCAGTCTCATCCTGTCCACCTCCACCACCCTCTCCAACAACCTTCTTGCCACATAGCATGCCTCCAATGGGGACATCTGGGACCCCTCCAGCTCCTTTTTGCGTGCTTTCCACAAGGCCTCCTTCATTGCTCCTATTATGGCCCACGCCCGGTCCCTGTCCTCCTTTCCCACTTCCCGCAGTTCCCCCCCACATGACGTCCCCTATCGTCACCCTCGACAGTGCGAACCGGGCCAACAACGGCATGCTCCTCCTCCATACCTCCTGGGCAAAGGGGCATGCCACCATCACGTGCACTGCATTTTCGTCCCTGTTGCAGCCCCTCGGGCACTTGGGGGTGTGTGCCATTTGTCGGCCGTACATAAAACCCCTCGTTTCCAGCTTGTCCCGGGCCACCAGCCATGACAAGTTCCTCTGTTCCTTCGCGAGCACCGCCGACAACACGTTTTTCCAAATTTGTCGGTGCACCTCCCTCCTTGCGCCTGGCACCTCATCGCAGGCTTCCTTTTTCTCCGCCTCAGCCCGCACTTCTCTGGGAATCCACCGTCCCCCCCACCGGTTCAGGCCGTGTTGCCCAATGAAGTCCCCCCCACCACATCACTTATCCAGCCCCCCGGCCAGTCCAAAGGTACATTCCTCTCTGCCTGGGCCATCCCAAGGCCCCGCAGGCGCCACATCAGACGATACCGCATATAACACGCCGCCTTGCCCCGCGGCTCCACGGAGAAGAACAGTCTCAGCGCGTTACATACGAAGGTCGAGTTCAGGGCGTACTCAACATTTGAGGCAGATCCTCCCCCCGTTCCCAGCTCCCATACACAGCACGGCCCTCCTCACCCTCTCCATCCCTCCCCCCCAAATAAACCCGAAAAGCGCCGAGGTCAAAACCTTGACCTCCCTCTTACCAGGCGGGAAAACCTGCGCCAGGTAGCTTAAGGTTGGCATTATCTCCATCTTTACCACCATAATCGTGAGTCGCCTCCCTACCCACTTACCCAGACGACCCTTTGTCTTCCTTACCCTCTTCTCCCAGTTATGTTCCCCCGACCTATCCCTACAAAATATCACCCCTAGCACCGTTATCTCTTCTGTCTGTAAGCTCAGTTCCGGCGGCCGACCCTCGAACAGCCTCGAGTCCCCAAAAGCCATTAACTCGCTCTTTCTCGCGTTGACCTTCAGGCCGGAGGCCGCACAGAACCTTCCTGTCCCCTCCAGTGTTCTCCATACTGACGCAACGTTCCTGCACATCACGGCCACATCATCCATATACAAGGTTACCTTCCCTTGCTCTTTGTTCCCCGGTATTGTCACCCCCCTAATCCTTTGGTCGTCTCTTATTACCTGCGCTAGGGGCTCCATACTCATTACGAATAGGACCGGGGACATCTGGCATCCCTGCCGTACCCCGGACCCTACTTGGATGACCCCCGGACGTTCCCCGTTTATAAAAAGTCTAGCTCTGAGCCCACCATATAGTCGTGCGACCCGCTCCACCAGGGGCCCACTCATTCCCATCCTCGCCATCACCACCAGCATATATTCATGTGAAAGTCAGTCGAAAGCCTTGTCCAGATCCAAGCTCAGTATCCCTAGCGGGCACCCCCTTTCCCTTTCCCCTTATATTGCCTCCCTCAGTACCACCAAGGAATCTGCGATCCTCCTCCCCGGGACCGCGCACGTCTGGTCCGGCCCTACCACCTCCCCCACCACCTTCCCTAATCGCGCCGCGATTATCCTTGCCAGGATCTTATAATCCGCGTTTAGGAGAGTTACCGCGCGCCAGCTTCCCAAGTCCTTACGGTCCCCATTCCCTTTATAGATCAGGGTAACCAACCTCTCCCGCATATCATCCGGCACCCGGCCTTCCTCTAAAGTTTCCCTACAAATTTGTAGTATGTCCTCCTTCAGGAGCTCCCAGAATTTGACGTAGAAATCTGCTGGGATCCCGTCCGGGCCAGGGGGTTCTGTTTCTATTCAATCCCTTTACCGCCTCTTCCACTTCTCCCTGCCGAATCTTTCCCTCTAGCGGCTCCGGATTACCAACGCTCTTCCCCAATGCCCTCAGCAGCTCCTCCCGCCTCCCCCCATCTATCCCTTTTCTCTCATACAACTCCCTATAGAAATCCTCCGCTACACTCATCATCCCTACCGTCGTCGTCTTTCTACCCCTGGTAGGACTTACCAATTCCATCATTGCATTATCTCCCTCCCTACCTGCTTTAAAGAAAAACCTTGTGCACCTTTCCCCTTCCTCTGTTGCCCTGACCCTCGCCCTGTACACTAATTGCCTAGCCCTTCTTTCCAAAACTGAAGCTACTCTCCCTTTCAACTCCCCTATCCTTTCCCCCATCGGGAACCCTAGCTCTAGCAGCCTGTACATTTTCTCTAGCCTAGCATTCCACTGCCTCAATTCCCTACCCACTCCCTTCCTCCTACTATGATGCTGGAAGAACGTTTTTATCCTGTCCTTTATCTGGCCCCACCATTCCACCCTCGTGGGGAAACAATCTTGCAATGTCCTCCAGCTTTTGTATTTTTGTACGAAGTCCCCCACCACTTTCTCGTCCTCCAACAGGCCCACATTCATTTTCCATACTCCCTTCTCCCTCCTCGCCCCACCTGGGATCGCGAGCCCCGCCACTACCATTTTGTGGTCATAGAGGGGAAATGGCTCCACCCCCGCACTTCCCACTTCCACTTTGGCCGAGACGAAAATAAAGTCAATCCGTGACTGTGTTCCCCCGCTCTTGTCTGACCACGTATACCCAGGCCGTGCACCATGCACCTTCCTGAATGCATCTACCATACCAAGGTCCTCTATCAACTCTTTCAGTTTTCTGGAGGAAGAGTCTAATTTCCTCCTCCCCTCTACCGACACCAGGTCCGCCAAGTATATCGGGCAGTTGAAATCACCCCCCACGATGACTTGTCTCCTGGTGGTCACTAGGGCCGCCAAGCTCTCCCACACCTCTGTCCTTACTCTTTGGTTCTATTGGGTAAAGTCACGTAGGTAAAAAAATAAAATAACAAAAAATCACGACGTTTCGGCCACAACACAAGCGGCCTTCATCAGGTGAAGGGACGAGACTGTCTGGAGGACAGCGCTGGAGTGAAAAAAGCCACGTTCAGATCACGACCTTTAAGCTGTGTGTCCTTGCCATGCACCGTACCGGGGCGTACATGTTTACCAGTCGAAACTCCACGCCTTGGTAGGATACATCCACACAGAGGAGCCGGCCCGGTATCACTTCCTGGGTCCCTTCCACCCTCATTTCCCTCCTGCCTAGGAGGGTAACCACACCGGTGCATCGGTTCCCATTACTACCCGACCAAACGTAGTGGCCGTTCCAATCCTCCAGCAAGGCCTCTGAACCCAGGGTATATGGTAGGTGGCATTCTTGGAGGAAGATCACATCTCTTCTGGTGGTCTCCAACAAGTGCATGATTGCCCCTCTCCTTCCCTTCCCCTTCATCCCTCTCACGTTTATAGACTCCACGGAAATGTCCATGCCGAAGTGTGCTTTATTCTGATTCCGCTGTGCGCTCCCCCCATCCGCCCTTGTCCGCCTTCTCTCTCACTTTCTTCCTCCCCTTCAACCTCCGGGGCTTCCCCCGGTTCAAACGTCCCCCCCCTTCCATCCTCCTCCATCCAGACTCCTCCGTGTCCGGAGAGGAGCCTGAAGGGCCCGTGTCATGCTGGTGGCCAGCGCCTTTCAGGACTCTGTTCAGTTTCCTCTTCCTCCCAACTGTTTCCTCCCATGCTCCGTCCGCTCCTTCCTCCACCCGCTGCTCCTCCTCGCCGTCCTCTCGCCAATTACCTTCGCCCAGTCCCCCACTGGGGTTCCCGGGTCTTCTTCCCCGTCTCCCCTCCCCTCCTCCCCCCCTCCCCCTCCAGTGGTGGTATTGCTTCCCTCCCCACAGGTCCCCCCCCCCTTACCCTCCCCGGGGGGTCGTGGTTCCTCCGCCTCTCCTTCCTCTTCTCTACCAAGCTCCCGGCCCGATTCCCGTCTGGCCGCCTCCTCCGCCACCTCCCCTGCTTGTCCATTCCGGTATGCCCACACCCTGTTGGCATAAGATTCTGGGCAGGATCTATACAAGTGCCCTCTGCTACCGCAGAGGTTGCAACGGGCCGGCTCCCCGCATTCCTCCACCGTGTGGTCCGGCGCCTTGCACCTATAACAAATCCGTGCCTCGTACGCTGCCGCCAGGTGCCCCCTTCCCCCACACCTACACAATTTGGGTTGGCCCGCATATACGACGTAGCCCTTGTTCCCCCCAATGTTCAAAGTGCTCGGGATGTGCCTCAGAGCCCCCCCCCCCTCCGTCTTCAGGCACACCCTCTACTGCCTGGCCCCCGTCCATATCTCCGCCGCGTCCTGCACCCTCTTGCAGCCAGACAACAACACGCAGCGCTGCCTCAGCCACACCTCCACATCCTGGTCATGTAGCGCCTCGTTGTACAGGAAGACTGTTACAACCTTCGTTTCCAGGTCTGACAGCAGGAAGTCAGGGGCTTCTCCCCTGCCCTCTCCTCGAAATGGGTGAGGAAATTCTGCAGCAGAAGATTTGAATTAAAACTCATGTCAAACGCTCTCCCCCCCGGCAGAGCAATCAGACAGTAGAGATCCGCCACCTCCACCTGCAGCATCCCGAGCATCACCGTCCTCACGAAAGTTGTTCTATCCAGAGTCACCTCTTCCACGTTGTCTTTGAATTCTACCCTTACGCAGTTGTGCCTCCTGGCATGCGTTGGTGTCAGGCTCGCCCCGGCTCCACTGCGCCACCTCCCCGCTCCTCCGCTGGGTCTCCCCGCTCCCACCGGGCCAGCGTTCGCAGTCCTCTCCCTCCACTGCCCCTCCCACGGCCCCAGGGTTGCTGGCACCCCTCCTGCTCCTTCCTCCCTACTCTGCTCGGTGGCACTCCCTCCCCATCCTCCCAGCACTTCCCCTCGTTCTCTTCGCTCCTCCCTCCTCGTTCCCTCTGGCCCATCCACCCTTCCCACGTTGCACCTCACCCATCACCTCCCCCGCTCCATACGGACCCACGCCGTCTCTCCGGTCGCTCTCAGCTCCCCGGGCACCCTCCATAGTCCGTGGCGTACGCCGCGTCTCCGTCTTCTTCCCCGCCGTCTCCATGTGCTCGTTGCAGTGGGATCACCCCTCCCGCAGCGCGTGTGGCTCCCCCACCCTCTGGCAGCAAGGCCACCCCAGACTGCCCGGTCTAGGGCCCTCGCAAACCCAGGGGTGGCTGGAGAGTCCACGGGATGCCGACGTGTGCCGCAGTGGCACCTCAGGAAGAACGGGTTCCGCTGGTGATTACATCCAGCATAATCGGGCAATTCGCCAGAATGGTAAAGCCCTCACTTGCTCTCGGTCTTAAATAGAGCAGCAGGGTGACGTCATCATTTAACTCATTTCAGGTGCAGTGAATTGAGGTGGAGGGGGGTATTGTAATTATATAATCTATTGGCAATCAGTCAATGGTTATGATTAGTAATGAGTTGTAGAATGGTAATTATTTGTAAGGTGTGTTATTGTGATTATATGGTACATTAGTAATCCGTTAATTAATATGTGTTTCCCCTATAAGGAATTGTAATTTGTATTATTTAATAATACGCTTCCAAGCCGCACTAAGCCTATAGCTATCAGAACGATTAAAGTTATTTCTGTTTCTCTCAATTTCAGTGGATGCTCTAATTAGTCTTTGCCAGTAATAATTAGTTTTACACAACACTTCAACGTTATCAAAATCAATTGAATGTCCTTGTTGACAAGCATGTTCTGCCACTGCCGACAGCTGTGTTTGAGATAATTTAATATTTCTTTGGTGTTCTTTTAGTCTTATGCTGATGTTACGTCCCGTCTGTCCAATATAGCATCTGCCACATAAAAAATTAATCCGATATACACCTTCTGTTGATAATTTAGGTAATTCGTCTTTCGTGCAAGATACTAGTTTTTGAATTTTGTGTACTGTACCAAATCTTACTGTAATGTTTTGCTTTTGCAAAACACGGGCTAATTTGTCAGTTACTTCTGAGATATATGGAATTTTAATTGTTTTCAGAATCTGATCGCTTTCAGCAGTGTTGCTTTGCGATCGTGATTTGGCATTCAGTACTCTGTTAATTTGAGTATTATTGTAGCCATTCTGTCGTAATGCTTCTTTAACGTGTTTGATCTCTCTCACTAGACTTTCACCATCTGATACTGTTTTAGCCCGATGTATGAGCGTCTTGATAAGAGAGGATTCCTGAGCTGGATGATGATGCGAATCTGCATTCAGATAGGCATCAGTGTGCGTTTGCTTACTGTAAACGCTGTGTGTTATTTTACCGTTTATGCCATGTCCAAGCTAAATATCTAGGAACGGGAGTGTGTTATTCACCTCCATTTCCATGGTGAACTGGATGGCCGGGTTTTGTGTATTGAGATGATTTAGAAATCATTAAGTGTATATTTACCATGTGGCCAGACAACCAAAGTGTCATCCACATATCTAAACCAAAAGATGGTTTTAATGTGCTCGAGGCAAGTGCTCTTATTTCAAAGGTTTCCATGTACAGATTTGCTATAGCAGGAGATAAAGGAGAGCCCATTGCTGCTCCTTCCTTTTGTTTATAGAAATCCCTCGCCATAAGAAGTAAGTGTTATTTAAACAATGGTCAGCAAGTTTCGGAATATCTGAAGGCCTTAACTTTGCTGTTACCCCACGCACAATTCCAGTGGATGAGATAATTGCTGAGGTAGAATCAGTAATAAGACTCCTTCCACATAATGAGGCAGAGATGACTAGACACGAGGTTGCCAAAATAATTGAGAATAGCAAAGTTCCAAAAGTATATATTAGCTCTAATGAAGCAAAAGCCTTAAGAGAGCTCCGTGTAAATAAAGATATCCAAATCCTGGCAGCTGATAAAGGCCGCACTACTGTAGTGATGTCACGAGCCGATTATGATAATAAAATTAGAAATTTACTAGAGGAAAGTACCTACATTAAAATTAAACGAGATCCAACTAATACTTTAGAATGTAAGACTACTGCAATAATTGCAAATTCATTAATCCCTAAGAATGAGTAACACCAAATTAAGCCAAGGGCCTCAAAACCACCTAGACTGTATGGGCTACCAAAGATTCATAAATTAAATTATCTCAAACACAGCTGTCGGCAGTGGCAGAACATGCTTGTCAACAAGGACACTCAATTGATTTTGATAACGTTGAAGTGTTGTGTAAAACTAATTATTACTGGCAAAGACTAATTAGAGCATCCATTGAAATTGAGAGAAACAGAAATAACTTTAATCGTTCTGATAGCTATAGGCTTAGTGCGGCTTGGAAGCGTATTATTAAATAATACATATTACAATTCCTTATAGGGGAAACATATTAATTAACGGATTACTAATGTAGCATATACTCACAATAACACACCTTACAAATAATTACCTTTCTACAACTCATTACTAATTATAACCATTGACTGGTTGCCAATCGATTATATAATTACAATACCCCCCTCCGCCTCAATTCATTGCACCTGAAATGAGTTAAATGATGACGTCACCCTGCTGCTCTATTTAAGACTGAGAGCAAGTGAGGGCTTTACCATTCTGGCGAATTGCCCGATGATGCTGGATGTAATTACCAGTAAAACGTCGTTTTCAAACTGTAAATGTTGTGGATTCACTCTTCAACACACCGGTGGGCTAAAGTAGTGAACTAATTGCCTTTTGTCAACGTGACACTTTATTTTGCTGATTGGCCGTGTCGGGCTGTGGAGGGTTTTGACACATTTATAAATAACGTGATCTAACCCAAAAACCTTTATTATGAATAATATTGGTCGCGAAAGCCTACGTGTTAAACTTGTTTTTTATATATTTTATTTCCACCTGAAGACGATCGCTTGTGTTGCGATCAATACATTGTGGTTTTTTGTTCATTTTGATAAATTTTTAACCTATTTATGTGACTTTACCGAAAGACTCAAAGAATATATATTACATATGTAATGGGTTCAACTGAGTCGCAGATGCAGACTTGGAGGCAACACATTTATTCAGTTCCAACACACGGGGTAACTTTCCCCTAAACAGAATAACAACCAATGGTGGTGACCACCAGGCTAACTACACTAGTTACTACACTACACTAGTTACTACACTACACTAGTTACTGCACCAGTTACTACACTAATTACTACACTACACTAGTTACTACACTACACTAGTAACTACACTAGTTACAATGTAACTGCTACTTCGGACCGGGACCAACAGCTTGGGCCCGGATCCACGTGTTGGATACTCGTTGAACGGAGAACGTAGACGAAAGTTTATTTCAGGATGAACAACAACCGCGGTCCCTCTCGGGACCTGGCTTATATTCTCTGTGGCGTGGCCGGCTCCGCCCTTGGCCGCGTCCACCTTACAGAATCCTCGGGAAGGATCTGGGTCCCAATCACGTGACCACCCCCAGCCCCCTCCTGGGGCCCCTTTGTAGACTTAACTGGTCACGTGTCTTCCCAGGTCAACCAGAGTGCCATGGCCTCGATTAACCTCATCCTTCGGCCGGCACCCACAGACCCTGTCCTGTAGGGTCGGCACTGCACGCAAAGCGTGGTGGCATTTAGCGCTATCATTCAGCGCTCACCGGACCCCTCTAGGGCCAGTACTCCACCCACACCCCTGTGGTATCCGCGATGTCACTACACCGCACGCGGCGCCTATGCATCATAAAACACTTTTTTATTAATGTTTCAGAAAAATATATAGCGGCCAGTGGCTAAACCTGCGTACATGTGTGGCGTGTGTGTGTGTGCGTGGCGTATGTGTATGTGTGTGTGGCGTGGGTGTGCATGGCGTGCATGTGCATGGCGTGCGTGTGGCGTGCGTGAATCACGCTGTCCGGCGGCGTGCGCAGCCTCTCCGAGGATGAGCTGTGCGAGGCGTCCTCGCTATCCCTCTACAGCGGCGGCACCGCCGCGCAGCGCGGGAACGCCCTCGGTGTCTTTTGCGGCCGGAGGCTCCCGCCCGGTGCTCGCTCCCTCTCCAGCAACATGACCGTCGTGTTCAAAGTCAAGGGTACCCTCGCGCCAGGTAGCCTCGTAGGGGCGGGCCGCGTCTTCGCCTTCGCATCACAGTTAATAACATTACGGCTTATGCTGGCGTTGCCCGTGGTGTCCCGGCGTTGCCTATGGCGTGTGCCCGCGACGTGTTCTGGCTTTGCTCGCGGTGTGCCAGAGTTTCCCACGGCATCTGTCGTATCTCTGTCTCGGAGATAATCGTGGTTATCAGTTAATCTTTAGGGCCTATCACTTTGTTGTCATCTGTCGTATAACTTCACCTCGATGCTGCCGTAATTGGTTAAGATCGATGCTGGTCAGTGTGGCGCTGCGCAACATCACGGCTGTGCTCCGTGTGGATGGATACGAGTTGACGTTGGCGGTACGGCTCCAGCTATTCCATCACAACCCTTAACCCTGCACCGCCCTCTGTCCCGCAGGCCAAGGCTTTGGGTTTGATTTTTACAAAGTCTCTCCACTGCAGGCTTCTAAAGGTATGCACACTCATGCAATTTTGCTTTTCGCTCAAGTTCTCTGAGAATGTGCTTGTTTTAACATGCAGTTTGCTGGAGGGCGTGTAGGCTTATTTGTGAGAAGTGGTTCTCTGATGAAGGGTGAGATACAAACGTGGCAGTTGAGTCTGGCCACATTTTACTGATGTTGTCTTTCAGCGTGCGGCTGGGCTCCCATGAAGGAACGCGTGAGCAGGAATCGGATAGTAGGAGGCACTGAGGCGAGGCCAGGAGCGTGGCCTTGGCAGGCCATCCTCTACTACAATGGCAAATTCCAGTGCGGGGGGTCCCTTCTCTCCAATCGCTGGGTCGTGAGCGCCGCTCACTGCTTCGGAGCGTAAGCATTTCCCCCCCCCCCCGCCTGCTTTCCTCCGCTGGACGAGTTCGGCTCTGCACTCTTGACACGCGTGGACGGACTACGTGATTTTTTAATCGGATGTTAAGGGGTTCATGGAGTGCTTTTCTGTAATTGGAGCGTGTCTGACTACTACTGCCCCAGTCTGGCTCCGTCAGTGCTGTCGATCCGCTGCCACCCACTCGAGTCCGATCCGGTTTAATTTTTTACAAATGGTGCTACTGCTGCTGCTGCGTTGGCAGTGGTGCACAGAGCACACACAACAGGAACCGCAATGCATGCGGTTTCTGCTTCTGCCGGCTGTTCTCCCGTGTGTGCCGCCGAGTCCAGACATTCCCCACCACGTCTCTCCTGTCCGTCTCATCCACGCGCCTTCAATCGTCCGTGTGGTCTTTCGCCAGAATGATTCCCCTCGTATAGCAACTTTTCCAGCCTCTTATCTTCCATCATTAAGACTCGCACAGAGACCCAGAGACTCACACGGAGACCCAGAGATTTACATTGTAAATTATCATTGCCGGTTTGTTGTCTACATCCTTAAAACATGCCCTGCCAACTTCATCCTTCTTTTCGTGATGCCATGCATATTGAAGATATAAGAGCAGCATGTTGACAGACAGCTCCGCAGGTGTTGCATAAAAAAGTCACCCCCAAGTAGGCGTCCGCGTCCGCCACCGGAAATCTTTCAGGGACCGTTGGGAGAAACAGCCGAACACCGAGAGAGGCTTTATCCACAAAGCGCCTGTGTGTCCTCTCGTGTCATTACAGTAGTAGCCAAGCGGGAAGCTGGACGGTCTACCTGGGCCTTCATTCCCGCAGCAATCTCAATTCCTCCACCGTGGTGGCCAGGAACGTGAGCAGGGTCATCGTCCACGAGCGCTACAACACAACCAGCCACGACTACGATGTCGCTCTCATGGAGCTGTCCAGCGGCGTCTCCTTCACCGATTACGTCCAGCCCGTTTGCCTGCCGGCCCCCTTTCAGAGGTTTCCCTACCCGGGAAAATCGTGCTTCGTTTCCGGATGGGGCACTCTGAGTGACGGTGGTGAGTGCACAAAGGATCAGTGTCTCCGCGTTGTGTGATTAGCTGGTGGACAAACTAAACTATTAAGTACTAAACTATTTTTTATTTTATCAGGTATGCCCAGTGGGCTACGTAGCTCTTTTTTCAGAAGGGACCACAAATGATAGCTCAACAAAGTGGCTTATCATCATATGTAAATGTAAGGCAGCCGCATATTCTGAACGCATGTTTCTAAATGTGGAGGCAAAAATCGGAGGAGCTAGAGAAAAATCAACGCGACTATGGGGAGAGAGAGACACGCAAACTCCAAATATACATGCATCAGGGTCAGGATCAAACCCATGATCTCCTGTATACCAAGCGAGGTAGTTAACATCTCGCCACTGTGGCGCCCTTGAGGCGGCACGCTTCTGGTTCAGCCAGATAATGGTAATATACTAATATGATTATTTATATGTGGATTGCGCCAACCACCTGACCGATCCACACGCGATAACCGTTAAATGGTGGCTCTTGCCTAAACATAACCTCGTAACCGGATGGCTCCCACGCTGCCTGTAAGTGTGCTTTCTACCCAGTCTCTGCTTATGGACGGCGCTGCACGAATACAATGTGAACGGTGGACACAGCCCGATCGTTGGCGTACGTCGTTGTCCCCCCGCTCCGCAGGTGACCTGCCCAACGTACTCCAGGAAGCCACGGTGGCGATATTGAGCCACTGTGTCCTGCCGGGCGCCGGGGCGTATTCGGCGGACCAGATCACCAACCGCATGCTGTGCGCCGGATACCCCGAGGGTCAAATCGACACCTGCCAAGTGAGACGCCGCCCAGGCCCCCCACCCCACCCCCATCCCGAGCCGGGTGCCAACCGCACCCCCGATTAGCACGGTTGGCTACGTACGGTGCAAAAGAAGTTCAACATACATACGTACAACCCTCAGGGGCTGGTTTCTTCTCTCCCACGGTCACTAAGTGCACGCCAAAGGGCCCAAAACGGCACATGGCTAGCAACAAACAGCACTGTTACAGTTGTAACTTCCGTTCATTCGTTAATTATTACCGTATTTTCCCCGCATATAACCTGCCGGGTATACCACTTTTTACAAACAAAACAAGACCCTGCGGGGTATATGGAGGTGCGGGCTATCCCAAAAATATTTTACACGTGTGACATGTCATAACTCGTTTCATTTTTTCATGGTAGGACTATCCACTTTGCAACACTTACCTTTGACTAAAGCACTGCTGAATAAACCACTCACACTAAAATTGCACATGTTATCACGTTTTAAATTATTTGAATTGTTTGTACAATGAAACGACAATGTTTGAAGTGGGCGCACTTTGTTTACCGGCGACGGGAGAGGTGGGGGGAGAGAGAGGTGGGGGGTTGGGGGGTGGGGCAGAGGAAGATCTGTGGTAGTGACGGGAAAGGTGGGGGGAGAGAGAGGTTGGGGGGTGGGGGCGAGGCAACGGGGTTACCGTAGTGCTGATATTGTCTGGACAGTGCGCAATCTACCAGTGCTAAAACTGTACAGTACTTACTTATCTACCAGTTATGTGTTATTTATTGGATATTTACTTTTGTTACTTATTTACTGTTTTAAGTTCACTCGTTTCCGGTTAGTTTGTTTTCTTTGGCCACGTTATGATTTTAATGTTAACAATTGATAGTGGAATGTATTACAAATGTAAACTTCGTATTAATATGATGGAATTAAGCTGCGGTAACGACGTTAAATATATGAATGCATGCGGGGTATATGGAGGTGCGGGCTATCTGAAATTTGTTTTAAACAAAACGCTTTTTTTGCGGGGTATATGCGTCTGCGGGTTATATGCGGGAAAATACGATACATTTTTATTGCGCACAAGTTGAACTAAAAAAGGACATTGAGAGGTGCGGGAGAATTAAAGAAAGAGAGGAGGGAATCTTCAGATTCTGATTTGAGGTGAGCGAGGACATGAGGCGGGTGGGGGGGGGAGCGAGTTAGAGACAAATGCGAGCCATGCCGGAGAAGTGACGTCCTCACCCCATCGGGTTCGAGGGACGACGGGCGGGTTGGACAAGCAGAAGGCCGTTTGAGATTGAGCGGCACTCGTTGCGAGGCGGCAGGAGCCCAGTGCGCACATGCGCTTTGTACCGGAGGGCAGCGTGTCGTCGTACAGGCAGGCCGTGCGATAGAGAAGCGGGAATACTTTTTGTAAAGGGTGCCGAGGAAAGCCAATCCTCATTCGGAAATAAATATATGCTCACCGGCTAATTAGTTTCGAATAGCGCGCCCGACTCTCTGTAGGTGACGACCTATCACGGGGGGAGATGCCGATGACGTAAGGCACCCCCAATCGGACTTGAAGGTGCAGAGCCATTCACATCGGATTGGTCGTCCGTGAACACTTAATGGAAATGAGGGGTCGGTTGGCATACACCGTTATAGGAGAAATTTATGGGATTGGTGGAGAATCATGGAAAGTTCCAGAAAGGATGGGGCAGAGATTAAATGGCATAGAAGGAGCTTCTGGGTGGCGCCTGGACAGAGTGATTTCCTGACGTGTGACGCGCTGTGCCGAAGATGTAATAGAGACCAAGTTCAAGACTCGTCCTCATCAACATGGGCAAATAGCCCGTAGGTGTCCAATGCACATTTCGTGATTTGTTTCCACTTTCTCTTGTGCCAATATTCTCAAGTAGTGCCACAATCCTAGCACCAATCTCTGATGATGTCGTCGTCTCTTCCGGTTCCTTGCATTTTTCCAAACAACAACAACACTGTTAATTTTCTTGTTTTTGTCCATCCTACTACATATACTGCGTGTCCAAATAGTGCCAATTTCCTTCTCATCACTGCCTGCATCATCATCAGATATTCATTCTATGTACAACCTTTTTCTTCTACGTTGGTCACTCTTTTGGTCCAGCTTCGTTGCAGCGGTATCCTTCTGTAGCGTTCCGTTCAAGACTCATGCGGCCAGAACTCCCTCACGTTTGTTAAATTGAGCAAAGTTCTTGGGTCTATCGGTAAAGTCACGTAAATAAACCTATGAATTCCTGCAGTCACGAAAGCTTTAAGTCAAGATTTGAGCAAAGTTATCATGAACGCCGTCTCGTCCGTGCCGCAGGGAGACTCCGGAGGCCCCATGGTTTGCCAGGACTCCAACAGCCGCTGGTTCCTCTCAGGCATCACCAGCTGGGGCGAATCCTGCGCCAGAGCCAACAAACCCGGCGTCTACGGCCGCGTCACCAAGTTCCTCGAGTGGATCCGCGTCAAATCGCAGTAGCCGCGCACGTGCGCGGCCACGCGTCCGGCAGGCGCACGCGTGCAATTGGCGGTCCGTAACAGCGACGGCCACAACCGTGTGATTAAATTATATTCCCTCTCGTCGATTGCGAGAGCCATGTGCCGAGTGAGACAATAAACTGCTGTCGACGTTCGTACCCACGGCACGCCTCCTTCGCTCGCGCTTTGATTTTGTGCAATGCGCCCACCTGCGGCGCGGTCTCCTGAACTCTGTTTGCGTTCGAGCGGCATGTCTCCCTTGTGATCGGATTTGTCAGTAGTTACAGTGTTGAACGGTTCACATTTTGCGAAAAAATGCCAAAAAAAGAATCAAACCACTGCAGACGCACTGTGCTCAGGTGCTTTTGGAGGTGCCGGATGGTGGGTCACATGGATTTGTCAAACTCAATTCAGCTGCTTTGCCAGTAACAAGATATAGGAATAGGTTTTACCCTTTTATCTGGCACAAAAACTGACACCTTTATACAAGGGATCATGTTTGCAATAACCACAACACAAGTAGTCAAAATGCAAACAAAAAAGACAACTGATAATATGCACTGTCCTTGAATTTGATTGGTCCACACCCGAGACGGCTTTTCTTAGAGCCCAGTCTCCACTGGTGTTGGACCAGAAGACGCCAAAAGGCGTACAACTCATAAACAGCGCACTATCAGAGTATTGAGGGCTCGGGGTGAGCATTTACATTGAGACCTATTCCCATATCTTGTTACTGGCAAAGGAGGTCTCAATGTAAATGCTCAATTTATTTGAACGTATTGGCGGTGCATCGGTGGTGCACGGTATTTATCAAAAATAAAACATTTCCGCAATAATAAAATTTTCCGCAATTTGCAAACCCCGATCATTAAATCTTGCGGGGTGGTGGTGGTGCGTCAAAACCAGTCAACTTGTGCCACAAGGAAACATCTCCCATTGGGGGGGGGGGGGGGGGGGGGACCCCGGGGGGGGGGGACCCCCTCCTCCTCTTTCAGGTGAGATGCCGATCGCGCGTGAAGGAGGGGGGGGGGGGCAGCTCCATCAAACACGCGGGTGGGGAGCGGTGCGCGTCGCGTGCTCCATGCGTGTGCACCATTCTTCCTCGTATTTAAAACACCTCCTCGGGGCACGGGCAGCTGGCGAGATTGTTGTGGGGGGCTGCCGCCGCTGCCGCCGCTGCTGCAAGGAGGGTGCCGCGTGAAGGTTGCCTTGGGCCTCGGCGAAAGAGAGAGGAAGACGCAGGAGAGGATTGAATAGAGTTGCCACATCCTAACACCTGCCCACTCGAACGCATGCCAATTGACGGGCTGTCCCGGTTAAACCCGGGACAGGTGGTAACACTGCGACGACGAAAACGGTCAAGTGGAGGCAAAAAAAAACCTCTGTAATGGCACCGCTCTCGATTTGTATAATTCGATTCGATTCTAGATTTATGAAAAGGTACGATTCGCATGCATTTTCCATGTATTCAATAGCTATGGGAAAGGTAATCGATTCTAGTTTAGCGATTGGGAATCGGAAATCACTCGAAGCTCCGGCTTCCTGAATGAAACCTGAGAGTGGTGCTGTCAGGGTAAGTGAGCAATGCTCAGGCTGGCTCAGTGAGCAGTGCTGGGGGTGGCTCAGTGAGTGGTGTCAGGGTGGCTGGCTCAGTGAGTGGTGTCAGGGTGGCTGGCTCAGTGAGTGGTGCTGGGAGTGGCTGGCTCAGTGAGTGGTGCTGGCGGTGGCTGGCTCAGTGAGTGGTGTCAGGGTGGCTGGCTCAGTGAGCAGTGCTGGGGGTGGCTCAGTGAGTGGTGTCAGGGTGGCTGGCTCAGTGAGTGGTGCTGGCGGTGGCTGGGGGTGGCTCAGTGAGTGGTGTCAGGGTGGCTGGCTCAGTGAGTGGTGCTGGCGGTGGCTGGCTCAGTGAGTGGTGTCAGGGTGGCTGGCTCAGTGAGTGGTGCTGGGAGTGGCTGGCTCGGTGAGTGGTGCTGGGGGTGGCTCAGTGAGTGGTGTCAGGGTGGCTGGCTCAGTGAGTGGTGCTGGCGGTGGCTGGCTCAGTGAGTGGTGTCAGGGTGGCTGGCTCAGTGAGTGGTGCTGGGAGTGGCTGGCTCAGTGAGTGGTGCTGGGGGTGGCTCAGTGAGTGGTGCTGGGGGTGGCTCAGTGAGTGGTGTCAGGGTGGCTGGCTCAGTGAGTGGTGCTGGCGGTGGCTGGCTCAATGAGTGGTGTCGGGAGTCGCTGGCTCAGTGAGCGGTGCTCAGGGTGCCTCAATGAGTGGTGCTTAGTCTGGTTGAGTGGTGCACAGTGTGGCTCAGTCGTGCTCAGGGTGGTTCAGTGAGTGGAGCTCGGTCTGGCTCATTGATGTGTGGCTCAGTGAGTGGAGCTAATTCACATCTCGATATTCAGTGAAGTTCTTTAATAGGTGAATCGCAGCGTTCGCATTTGGGGTGGAGTGCGGTCTCGGTGGGCTGGGTGGCGATAGCGAGAGGAGGGGGGCGGAGTCGGGGGGGGCATAGAGCGAGAGGGGGGGCTTAGAACGAGAGAGGGGGGGGTAGTGCGAGAGGGGGGGGGGGGCGTAGAGCGAAGGGGGGGGGGTGTTGTTTATGTTGAATATGAAAATTTGATGAAAATAATAATAATGAATTGAAATTTGGGTAAATGTGTAATTATCCGAAACCGTGTTAATTTATGTAATTATGCGCATAAATTATGCTAATTCGAGAGATAATCGTATTAATTTATGCGAGTGAGTTGAATATGCATATGCAAGTCGTTATGATAATTAGGCCCCGCCTCGCTGACGAGGGTAGTATTATCAATCGGGATAATACAATTGATCGTATGAGGTTCTGTAGGTGTGATGTAAGTACGCCAGATTAACTCGTCTTCGTTGTCTAGGTTTGTATCATCAATCGGTATAATACTCTTACTCTTTGGTTTTATTCGGTAAAGTCACGTAGATAAAATAAAAACAAAATAAAAGAAAATAATTAAATCACGACGTTTCGGAGGCAACACAAGCTTCCGTCTTCAGGTGGAAAAGGCAATGCAGAATATCTGTGTCAGGAGCACAGTTCAGAGACAACCGGGATTATATACCGGTTAAGGGAGGGGGGAGGAGTCAGTAAGGGGGCATGGGTGGGTAGGGGGGCTGGGTTAAGCAGCCTTTTGATAGGCTGCTGTGGGTAACAACCACTTCGCACTTCACGGGAGTGGGTAAAAAAAAAACACCTTTTGTAATTCTGAGTGTGGGGTCAGGGAGATTTTGGAAGCGGGTGCAAAACGGCTGATGCTGCTTGGGGGGTCGGGGGGATTTTGAAAGCGGGTGCAAACGGCTGAAGCTGCGTGGGGGGGTTGGGGGGGATTTTGAAAGCGGGTGCAAACGGCTGTTCAATTATAAGGTAGCTAAAGTTTGAAATACAACCACTGAGAAAAGGAAATGGCTGTTCAAAAAATTGAGAGGCAGCTAACGTTTGACTTGATTTATAAGATCTTTCCAGTGACTGCTCAATTTGAAACCATCCTCTCGGTTGAAGTTGCGTCTGTGTTTGTAAATCTGGATGGCCTCGTGGACAAATCTCTGATAATAACCGCTAGGTTTGCAGAGCACCTTGGTATTGGAGAAAACAATATCATGATCACCCACAGCGTTGTAACAATGATCAGCCACGGCAGAAGAATTCGTTCTGCCGTGTTTCAAATCTGATTTTTGCTCGCGAATTCGTTCAGAGATATGTTGCTTCGTCTCCCCGATATAGCAGTCCCCGCAGGTACAACTCAATTTGTAAACACCGGGGTACTGTAAGTCAGGAATAACATCCTTTACTGATAGGATCATATTACGGATTTTGTGCACTGTGTTGAACCGGACCTGGATCTTGTGTTTGTTTAGAATTTTGGAAATATTTTTAGTAACGCCTGCTATGCATGGTAACATGATGATTTTGATCGGAGTGTCAAGTGGTTGTTTCTGTATGGTGGGAGAAACAGCTTGGTGGATGAAATTTTGATTTAAAGCTTTCGTGACTGCAGTAATTCATATTCTTAGTTTTTTCGGTAAAGTCACGTTGAAGAGAAACAACAAAATAACAAAATATATATAAAACAATAAAAAATTCTCACGACGTTTCGACCATAACTCAAACGGTCATCATCAGGTGTGTCGGTTTGCATAAATTTATTTTGAAAACGGCATATTTATTTATATATATAAAAAATAACGTTTGCGTCACGCGCAACGATTGGCAGTTTGCCCAGGACTAGTCCATCTATTTTTTGAAAAGAGGAGGGGGGAGACGAAATTTGTTTTTATGTATGCTGTCTGAAAGTCACTGTAAGCGTGAACAATCAATCAAGAACTGAAATGATGTATCAAATCTTTCCAATGATTGCTAAGATAGAATCCATCTTCTCGGTTGAAATTGTCTCTGTGCTTGTATATGTGGATAGCCTCATGAACGAATCTCTCATGGAAGCCAGATGGCTTACAAAGAACCTCCGTCTTGGAAAAGTCAATGGCATGTGAGCCTACTGAATTAGAACAATGATCTGCTACGGCCGAGGTGTTGTGTTATTTCTCTTCAACGTGACTTTACCGAAAAAACTAAGAATAAGCTTGGTGGATGGTACGGTCAGAGTAACCGTTCATCTTGAGGGCCAAATGTACATGTTTTAATTCACTGGTCAGGTGGTGTTTGTCAGAAATGCAATGAGCCCTATGGATTAACGTTTTGATGAGAGAATTCTTCTGAGTCGGGTGGTGGTGGGAATCAGGTTTCAAGTAGGAGTCTGTGTGGGTGGGCTTCCTGTAAACACAAATGTCCCAAAGCTGCCTCTCAATTCTTTGTACAGCCACTTACTTTTCTCAGTGGTCGTATTTCAAACTTTAGCTACCTTATAATTGAACAGCCGTTTGCACCCGCTTTCAAAATCCCCCCCGACCCCCCCACGCAGCTTCAGCCGTTTGCACCCGCTTTCAAAATCCCCCCGACCTCCCACACAGCATCAGCCGTTTTGCACCCGCTTCCAAAATCTACCTGACCCCACACTCAGCATAACAAAAGGTGTTTTTTTTTTACCCCACTCCCGTAGAGTGCGAAGTGGTTGTTACCCGCAGCAGCCTATCAAAAGGCTGCTTAACCCAGCCCTCCCACCCACCCACGCCCCCTTACTGACTCCTCCCCCCTCCCTTAACCTGTATATAATCCCGGTTGTCTCTGAACTGTGCTCCTGACACAGATATTCTGCGTTGACTTTTTCACCTGAAGACGGAAGCTTGTGTTACCTCTGAAACGTCGTGATTTAATTATTTTCTTTCATTTTATCTACGTGACTTTACTGAATAAAACCAAAGAGTATGAATCCTTGCAGTCACGAAAGCTTCAAACCTAGAATTATAATACTCGTATTGTCGCTTTAACATTTGCTGATTATGTATTAGTGTTTATGTCAGGTCTCCAAATTCAAATCTCAACGCAGAATACAGTTCTTATAAATAAGATTATGCATGAACTCAGGAAAGAAACACGCAAACACTTCTGTGTTAAGCAATTTTATTCTAAACGAAACCTTAACTCCAAAATATGCAAACTCTCAGGCTTGGAATTATCAACACAGTACATTTAACCATCAAGGATTGCGTTGTTTCACTTTGGTAACGGCACATGATTATTTCCACCGCGTAACGCGAGCTCAGTTGGTGATAGGGAGAGTCGTTAAACATGCATGCACGCTATTCTAAGCAAAAACCTTTACACTATAATATGAATTATTATACTTGAAATTGTCAACACAGTACTCCAGGCGATGTTAATTTCATTGATCCATCCCTTCAACCCTCAATAATCACGTTGTTAATTGGGTAATGGAACTATTGATTACTTCCTCTGAGTACCACGAGCATACACAGCAAATAAAAGTCCTTAAAGATTCACGCGACGATAAACACGAAAAACGATAAAACAAATTGTTCTACCCCAAGGCAAAGTATACGTCAATCGATTCATCGGCAAAATTATGCAATGAAAGGAAAACGAACCACTTAAGATGCTTCTAAAAGACCTTATCCACGTAACTCAATGGGCAGCAATGTTCTTCACGATCAGTTGATATTTAATGCACCACCTTGGAATGACAACCCTTCTTGATTTGTCCCGATATGCGTGTTGTGTGTCTTTGTAAAGCAGACGCCGGGTGATGCGTCGTGAGGATGTGAATGGGGGGGAGGGTCTTACAACTGCTTCGTTTTTTTCTCTTGCTCGGGGCGTCAGCTTAGCTGCCCGTGTTGGCAGATACAGGCTCTTTCCACTGCTGGAGGCGCTGCGTCAGCACGTTGCTTGTCCTTGTAGATGCGCGATCACGCTTGCTGCTAATCCGCGGACAGCAGCAGGCTCCTTCTGTTGCTGGAGGGGCTGCGTTGCACGCGCTCGCCGCTGGTCCGCCGACTCTTTTGCTCACGGGCGGCTGGTCAGGCTCTTTCCCCTGCTGGATGAGCCGAGGCGGCACAACGCTTGGCCGCTGGCAGCTGGGAGCTGGCACTCGATGTAGAATAAAAGTTTTTTAGCGATACTTCGTCTTTTAGCTCTGAACTCACACTCGGTGACACATCGCTACTCTGCAAGCCTCGCCATCCTCGGTTGATTGCGGGGCCCACCGGGGCCTGCCGCTCGCCGCCCTCTTCTGTAGCTCGCCGAGCTGTTCCTTGTTGAACTGAATTGTCGAGATGATGGTTGAGCTGTTATATCCGAAAAAAAATCTCCGCTCTGCGTTGTGGGGGGGTGTGGTCCGTGTCCGCGTCTGTGTGTGTTATTAGGTCATCACACATCTGCGGTGTGGGGGGGGGGGTGTGGTCCGTGTCCGCGTGTGTGTGTGTGTGTTATTAGGTCATCACACATCTGCGTTGTGTGGGGGGGGTGGTCCGTGTCCGTGTGTGTGTTATTAGGTCATCACACATCTGCGTTGTGGGGGGGGTGTGGTCCGTGTCCGCGTGTGTGTTATTAGGTCATCACACATCCGTGGGCACAGATGGCCCCTGCGATAAAGAGTAATTTCCCTCGCTCTGGCGTTAAATTCCTTTCTCGTGCTGCTGGAAGACAAAGACGGCCGGGAGGCTCTTTCTCTCTGGCTGGCCCTCGGTTTAACACTGCACAAATATTATTTGGGCTCACGTTTCCCAAGATTTGTGATTTAACACCGTAATCACGACGCACTTCCCGGGTTTCATTAATTTTCGTCTCCCCGTCTGTATGCTTGAGTTATCATTTATTTCATTTTATTTCCGATGTCCTGAGTTTAAGAGGTCAGTTTCTTGATTGTTGGAATTCATATCCCTTGGTTTTTGCAAGGTCGTGTAGCGGCATGTTGTAATGTAATTTAAGGTGAATAACGTTAGTGTTAATATTATGTATGTGAAGTAATAACCCACGAGGGAGATTATGGTCTGGTGTTGTTTTTCGTATAGTGTGTGGATTCTTTATGATGTCGACTCATTGTTGCTAAGTTCTGAACTTTAACCGTGGTATTAATAGCAAAGAAGGGGAAAATTGTTTAAGACCTCGCAGTCGTGGTGTCTCATTGTCTGAGTTCCGAGATGGAGTCTTTGAAGCCGGGAATTTCCCTCCCGCTTCGTTAGCAATCCCCCCCCTTTTCCCTCTTTGATCTGGTTTATTGCTCTTTATGGTTTATCTCCGGGCGGCCTGGTTGTGTGTGTGGGGAGGGGGGGTCTGTATCCCCCCTTTTTGCCCCGGAATGTATTATTTTTAATGGCCTTTTACGATCTCCAGCTGCTGGCTGCTGGGATGAGGTAGCGGGTGTGAGGGTGTTCTATTTATTTATTTATCGACTATTATTAAAAAAAATATCGGCAAATAGTATTATTGATATTAATTGTGGAAAAACGCCCGTATACAACAGCGGGGCGTAGAGATGGGGGGGGGGCGTAGAGATGGGGGGGGCGTAGAGCGAGGAGAGGGGGGGCGGAGAGCGAGAGGGGGGGCGTAGAGCGAGAGGGGGGGGGCGGAGAGCGAGAGGGGGGGCGTAGAGCGAGAGGGGGGGGGCGGAGAGCGAGAGGGGGGCGGGGCGTAGAGCGAGAGGGGGGGGGGCGGAGAGCGAGAGGGGGGCGGGGCGTAGAGCGAGAGGGGGCGGGGCGTAGAGCGAGAGGGGGGGGGGGCGGAGAGCGAGGGGGGGCGTAGAGCGAGAGGGGGGGTGTAGAGCGAGGGGAGGGGGGCGTAGAGTGGGGGGGGGGGCGTTGAGCGAGGGGGGGGCGTTGATCGAGGGGGGGGCGGAGAGCAAGAGGGGGGGCGTAGAGCGAGGGGAGGGGGGCGTAGAGTGGGGGGGGGGCGTAGAGTGAGGGGGCGGAGCGAGAGCGAGAGGGGGGGGGCGTAGAGCGAGAGGGGGGGGCATTGATTGAGAGGGGGGGGCGGAGAGCAAGAGGGGGGGGCGTAGAGTGAGGGGGGGGGCGGAGAGTGAGGGGGGGGGATGGAGAGCGAGGGGGGAGGATACGAGGGGGGGGGGCGTTGCGAGTGAAGGGGGAGGCGGGTGCCAAGGGCATCGCCGAGCGGAGAGAGGTCAGGAGGGAGCTGAGAGGAGGAGAGGAGGAGAGGCAGCAGCAGCTGGGATCGCTCTTCCCCGGCGTGAGTGCATCAAGTCGGGAGAGCGAGGTGGGAGTCTGGAGCGGGGGTGGACCGTGCTGCGTGATGCTCCCCGCCCGGGCAGCGGTGGAGCGATCTCGTCCCTTGAGATGTGGGGACGCGAGGGGGAGATGCGGGCAACAAGCGGGGCGTGCGGGTGGTGGCGAGGGTTGTTGATGGCTCTGCACAGGTATACTGTCACCGCCGGGGGAGGAGCGGTGATCTCGATCGGCGCACCTGGGTCCGGCCCGTGACCTCCTTGCCGTCGGCGAGCCTTTGACAACTTCGCGTGGCCTCGAGGTGCACCTAGCCTGGCACAATCGCCGTGGTGACGTCACCGCCCGTTTAGTGTCGGAACGGCGGCGGCTGTTCTTGTTCTTGTTTGTAACCCAAATGGGAACAGAGTTGGATGTTTTGGGGGAGGAGGAGAAAGAGGTGGCGTGATGTGTTGGGTGTGTGGCGGTTCGTGCAATGCGCTGTGAATCCGGCTCTCCGAGTTCGATTCGCGCTCACGGCCAACACCGGTAACGATTAGCTGAATCGGTCCTGGGCCTTCTCTAGGTCGACTCAGCCTCAATCGAGTATCTGGTGCGGTGTGTAACATTGCCGCTAGGGAGACAAAGGCGGCCGGACGTGGTGCTGTCCACCCACCCCCTCGTGTACCGTTCCGGCCTTCATAGGTGCTCGCTAACAGCACTTGCTGCTATAGCCCGGTGTCTCTGTGTCTGTCTCATGCTGTGATTCTGCATAGCCCTGTGTCTCTATCTCTGTCTCCCGCTGTGATTTTGCATATCCCTGCGTGTCTCTGTCTCTGCCTGTCTCTGTGTCTCATGCTGTGATTCTGCAGAGCCCTGCGTGTCTCTGTCTCATGCTGTGATTCTGCAGAGCCCTGCGTGTCTCTTGTCTGTGTCTCATGCTGTGATTCTGCAGAGCCCTGCGTGTCTCTTGTCTCTGTCTCATGCTGTGATTCTGCATAGCCCCGCGTGTCTCTGTCTCTGTGTCTCATGCTGTGATTCTGCATAGCCCTGCGTGTCCGTGTCCCCCCTCCCCGTAGACCTCGCCATGCACGTGATGGAGCGAGTGGTGCTGGCGCTCCTGCGGCTGCTGTCGCAGACGCTGCTGCTGGTGATGGCTGCGTGGCGCTGGCTGGGGCTGTCGGCGCCGCGCGTGCCGCTGCCGCCCCTCGACGCGTCGCCGTCGTCGCCGCTGCTGCTGCCCGCCACGGAGCTGGCGGGACGCATCCGGCGACGCGAGGTAGACCGGGCGCTGTGATCCGGTGCCACCACGCTACCTACGCCTGCGTCGTGTTGGGGACGGCGGGGTGGTGACGCGCCTCGTGACAAGAACCGCCTGGGTTTAGATTCCTGATTCGGTTGCCTTTCTATGTGGAGGAGAGATTATGTGTTCTCCCCCTGTCCTGTCAGGGTTTCCACGAAGTTCTCCAGTCACCTACCATAGCTAACAACAACGAAAACACTGAAACTGGTATCGGCCGAAACATCCCAATAAAAAATAAGAAAATCACCCATTTGAAATGACGCGGGGCAGGACCCTCCGGAACATGAGCCTTGAGACACGTTGAGGCTCCGCCGGGTGGTCAACGAGTGGAGCGGCACTCCCTCCCCTGCATGCACGAGCGCTGCCGGTGTCGTGTGCGGTGCAGGTGCGGAGCGTGGCCGTGCTGAACGCGTGCATCGACCGCATCCGCGCCATCAACCCCGTCGTCAACGCCGTGGTGGCCGACAGGTGAGGAGGTCCGGGGACGGGCCTGGTGACAGAGCGCGGGCCCCATGGGCCCCGCGCTCCCTTAGGCGGCGTCGCTGTCCAGTGTGGGATCACGTGACCCGTGGTCTGTGAATTAGTGGTGCAGGGAGCAGTGTGTGGTCACGTGATTGGTGACCTGTGAATCGGAGGTGCAGGGGGCAGTGTGGGATCACGTGACCCGTGGTCTATGAAATGGGGGGTGCAGGGGGCAGTGTGGGATTACATGATTGGTCGCCTGTGAATCGGAGGTGCAGGGGGTGCAGTGTGGGATCACGTGACCCGTGGTCTGGCTCTTGGTGACATTGCTATCACATTGCAGACTGTTCTTTTTCCACTGATTGCTGTTGCGGAGCGATCGCACCGCCTGGTTGTTCCGCGATAAAGCAGTGGGAAGTAAGTAATCGGTTATGTAATGTTGGCCACTGTATAAATCAGAGACGTTCAGAGCGTTGCCGTGGTCATTGCTTCACACTCGTTTCTGTGGCAGAGCAAACGAGCGAGTCCGATTTAATCTGCCCGGGGGTGTTTGGCAGGCGCACCTCTCCGGCTTATAGATTGTGACGTACTTCGTGCACAGCGCTCTCTCTGGCTCCCCTCGCCCTCTCGAAAAAGCTGTCATTGCTACCAAGTGCATCGGGATGCATCGCGTCACAAAAATACACTTGAATTGGTATTTGTGCTGTGGCCTAGGTGTGCCATAGTCCTATGCTTTGTGGTGTTTTTCACTGTTGATGGATAGACCAGGTAAAAATGTGGCTTCATCTGTAAAGAATGTACGCTAACATTTAGTCGGTTATCCCATATGACTCATCGGGGCAGGGAAGCGACCCTATTATCCACCACTGGGCAGCCTTTCTTGGACCCACATCAGATAGCTGAGATGCATCAACGAGACTCTCGCGGCTCGCTACGCTCCCTCCACTGGCTTCCCACCATGGCCAGCAGGGTCAGCTACACGATCTCCTGCTGCCTGTGGCATCGCCTCTACGTTAGGCTGTCCCCTCGTACCTCCGCTCTACTGTCACCCTGCTGCACTACAGCTCATGATGGAGCTCTCCGTAGCAGCAGAGCAACTTTCAGCCTCCTCCTCTCTACACTGAGGAGCACGGTCATGGTCACTGCCAGGCATCGTTTCTCCGTGGTAGCCCCAGACGTCTGTAACGTGGCCATCATCATCATCGTCATCCCACTGCTGCTGCACACTCGCAGCAGTAGTATTCAATTTACATCGACTCTTCCTCAAAAGCCCCACACCTCTTTCTCCTGGCTTTCGATTGACACTGAACTTGGCTGTGCCTTAGAGTCACGGTCATTCATCTCCGAGAAATATTGTGCACGTTATAAATGGAATTGTTTTATGATTAAATGTCTGTGGACTTTTACTCTCGTAAAAGCCTCACAAAAACACAACGCTTCCCCCGTGTGTCAGCTGGATTTTTCTTAATTTTACTGAAATATTCCCAGCACTGAATTCAGGAACTGGAAGGGGAGTGTGGACGTTCGTAAACTTTATATTTGCACAGTAAAACATTTCAGCCGTAGTTTTTTTTTTTACCTCGATCAAAGTTCACAGGCTACACGCAGCTGCCCTTCAATATCACAGATCCTTAGATGCTTGTGGTCAGATTGAACCCTTCACTGGACTCTTAACACAAACGATTCAAGTGTTGTGACTAACAGATGCCAGACTCGGAGCCGACGAAGGTTCTTATAGGGCAGATACCAGTCCACAGATCGAGGAGACTCATTTAAGATCAGTTGTATTGTTTTTTGTGCAGGTGCCAATTGCTGCTCTATTGCATTGATCACACTCCACTCTCAGAGCACCTGGTTTGTTCATCGTGAGTTAGCAGAGCCGCGTGTCTGCCTTGCAGGGCTCTGCGGGTAGGTTCTCGTGGTTGCGCTGTCACGACCCAGCTTTTAGGTGTTTCCCTGGCCCTGTACCGCGTCTCGCGCTAAAGACCAAGTTGCCGAAGAAGCTCCCGGCGCTTGGGGGCGGAACGCCAAACAACCCGCCGGCGGCACGGCCAGACAATGCGTGGGGTGCGCGGAGAGGCTCGCCGAGGGCGTTTGTGTGAATTTAACAGCCACTCGTACATCACCTTAAGAAGGCAAAGGAGCAGAACACTGGTCCAGTCTCAGCGTTTTTGCAGCCGCAATGTCAGCGGCAGCCACCTTTGAGCCCCCGCTCACAGCTGATAAGCTTGGCTCGTTGTGTTCCTTTGGACTCTCACCATTGTGCGGCAATACGAACTGAAGAACCCCCATATCCACCGTTCGTGCATTTAATTTGTATCTTGTTGCTTTGTGAAATTGACCCTCGCTATTTATGACGATCGATAGCAATTTATTATTGTGCTACTTTGGGATTTTTGTTTCAGGAGACACCAAAATATCCTGAGACCGATGCAAAGTGCAGTATCGTGCAACTCTGTATGTGTGTCCCAGGTAGCGTTACAGCTCCACGGGGTCACGAGCACCACGCTAAGAATCCCCGGCTTTAGTGGACTGACAGGGGCACTGAATGCCAGGGGGCAGCACAGTGGTGACACTCGCGCCTGGCAGCAGGCAGTGCCTCGGTTTAATTCCTGACCTGGGCGTCTTTTTTCGTATGTTTCCCCACTGGGTTTGCTCCAGGTTATCTGGTTTCCTCCCATAGCTAATTAAAACCTACAGTGTAACCGGTGTTGGCTAAACATCCCAATGCTCACAATCACCCACAAATGCTGAATTGGGATCACACAGCAGCTGCATCAGCAACATCGCCCCTCAGGACCTTCCTGAGGCTATCCCTGGTAAACAAGCAGAATAATGAATAGTAATAAATCAAAACCGGAGTAGTCAAAGTGTCTCCCTTGTGAAACGAACATCGGCAGCCCCACCCTCAGTGAGGGTCCGGCTGACTCACCCCCCTCACCCCCTCCCTCACCCCCCCCCACCCTCGTCACCCTCACGTGCCCCCTTCAGGTTTGTGGAGGCGCTAGCGGAGGCGGCGCGCGTGGACGAAAGACTCGCATCCACCACGGGGGACGAGAAGAAGCTGGAGGAGGAGACCCCCTTGCTGGGGGTCCCCTTCACCGCCAAGGAGGCCTTCGCCATCCAAGGTAGGTGGCGCCATGGTGATGCTCGCGCCTCAGAGCCTCTGCGTGGAGTCTGTACATTCCGTCTCTCCCTCTGCATGCGTGGCTTTCCTGCGGGTTCTCCCGCTTGTACGTACGTATGTACGTTGAACTTCTTTTGCGCCGTACGCAGCCACCCGTGCTAATTGGACGAGCGATTCCTCCCGAGGCTAAACAAACACAGACTGCAACTGCTATGGGTCAAACATCCCGACGATAAACAACGACAACGCTTGCTACTCAATTGGGATCACGCACGGCAATGTCGCCCCCTGCCCTACGTCGCCCCATTACTGCACGTGCCCAGCGGGTGAGCGGGCGGCTGGGCGGGTGAGCGGGCGGCTGGGCGGGCGAGCGAGCGGGCGGGTGGATTAGCAAGTGGGCAGGCGAGTGGGCTAGCGAGCAGTACCGTCGTGGCGCTGTGGTGGTAGCGCGTGTCAACGTTGTGCCCAGGCCTGCCCAATTCATCGGGGCTACTCAGCAGGAACGGCGTGCGCAGCCAGCAGGACGCCGCGGCCGTGGCGGCGCTGCGCCGTGCCGGCGCCATCCCGCTGGGCGTCACCAACTGCAGCGAGCTGTGCATGTGGTACGAGTCGAGCAACCTGGTGTACGGGCTCACGCGCAACCCCTACGATACGCGCCGCATTGTGGGCGGCAGTTCCGGTGAGGGCCCCTGCACCCCCCCCCCCCAACCCTCTCGCTTGTTCCGTGTGTGTTATGCCCGAAGATATAGAGAGGACCTTCATATATAATTCCTTCATATAGAGAGGACTGCAGAGCTTGGGAAATTGTTGGCACAGGCTCCTTGCCGCCGCCGTGTGTCTGTGTGTGTGGTTCCTCCTTGCGCCTCCGATTCGCTCGTGCTCTTCGAGAGCGAGCGAATTCTGTGTACGCTGCAAGTTTAACTTCTTTCGCACCATACGAAGCCAACCGTGCTCATCTGAGATGTGGGGGAAAGACAACCAACTAAACACAAAAAGCAGTGGTAGTCCTATGTGGAGACGGGCCATGAGAATGTGGATTGTCCACCATTGGCTCAGGGCCACCGGCTGTGGTGAACGCGGCATCCCTGCCATCTCTGGGACAGCAAGGACGGTCATGGCGTCGTGCTGGCTGCATTAGGCCACGGCAAGGCCCTGTCCATGAGGGGCGGCCACTGCTGTGACGGCTCAACTCACCGCACTTGCAATCCATGGTGGAACGGGGCCAGTTTCTCAAATTCTCGCACCTCTGTCCAACGATCGCTATTATTAACGGCCTCACCATTTACACCACTGCAGGTGGCATGCGGTAGAGTAGAATGTGGCTACCCAAATCTTCCGAGGTGTCTGGGCAGCGAGGACGAGAAGGCCAGATACCCCGAGTGGGAGGAACTATTGAGCCCGCCCCTGGCGGAGGCCATTTGCGCGAGCGAACAATTGCAGGGCTAGCAGCTTTGCCCACGCTCGAGTGCTGAGCTGGCGCGATACGCGGCGGTGTGTGGTGCATGCCGAGTGCCGAGCACGGCGTGCCAAGTGCTGGTTTCTGCATGCCGCGTGCCTGGTGCTGCATGGTGCATGTTGGGTGCAGGAGGCGAGGGCGCCGTGCTGGCGGCCGCGGGCTGCGCCATCGGCATCGGTTCGGACATCGGGGGCAGCATCCGCATGCCGGCCTTCTTCAACGGGATCTTCGGACACAAGCCCACGGCGGGTGAGCACGGCGTGGGTGCGGAGCCGCCCCTCTCTGCCGCTCGACGCGCCGGTGTGCAGCGGCTTTCGCTTGAGAATGGGGGTGGCCACCCTGTAACAGACAAAGAACCAGAGTACCCCAAAGTTCTGCAAAGAGCTAATAGTATATTTAAATCAAGATTGAGTATATTTAATAATATATCAAACAACTTATACAACTTAAATTCATTATTCTTTGCTACTATGACATGATACGTTACGCCCCTTCGATAGAGCCACATGTGCTCCATGCGGCTTGGTAGACACCGGTTGGCCAACACTCCTTTCGACAATGTGGAACAATCTTGACTTAAAGCTTTCGTGACTGCAGGAATTCATATTCTTTGGGTCTTTCAGTAAAGTCACGTCGATAGGTTGAAAGCAAATATAAAAAAAATATTTGAACCTATCTACGTGACTTTACCGAAAGACCCAAAGAAAAATGTGGAACTACGCAAAATATAACAAGAACAATAATGTAAGGCCCTTTGTCAATCCACCGCTGGATGAAGGCCTCCTCACGGCCGTGTCAGTCCTGGAGATTGTTTGATCATACTTCGCCGCGCCGATCGGTGCCAGTTTGCTGATGGCGACAAAGGTCAGGACAGGTTAAGATGTCGCTCACCTCTGACGTCGGACGTGGGTGGGAATCGAACTCGGGTTGCGGGCTTCATTGCGCAGTGCACGCATCGCTCAATCCCTCCCGGCTTGTGATGTCGCTACCCCTGGGTACCGTGTGCCCGTCTACAGCAGGCTCGCGCGGTAACGTTGCGTGTTGAATAACAATACCGGTCTGTGCCCATTCTAATCCGCTTCTCTCGAAGGTGCGGTTTTACAGCTTTACAAGGGTGTCGGCGTGAGTTGGTCGGAACTATGAGTCTTAAAGGATGTCTCGTGAATGCGCGGTAATGGAGCGAGCGTCGCCTGATGACCCGGGGCAGGTTTAGGGATCATCGTCACCGGCAGCCCTCCCCGGCGGTCTCCGCTGCTCTCCCTGTTGTGACCCAAACTTAACTCCGTCACTCCGATCCACAAGTTGCCCTCGCTGCTCAAACCGAGCGTGTTGCTGGAAACAGTTTCTGGCTGCGCTTCCCCGAGATTCGCCCTCGGGTGAGGGTTGGCGGTTCACACGCGAGTGTTGCAAAACTCCCCCATGGGCGTCAAGGAGGAGCCATGCCCTGACTCGCCAGGAGAGGGCGGTACAGCAATAATGTGGACCTCACCTGTCCCGTCCGTGTGGTACAGAGCAGGGACTGTCAAACTCAATGGGACAGCAGGCTGGTTTGGATTCAAATGCAACCTCGCGCGGGCCACACTGTTGGACCTATGAAAATGATAGGCATAATAATACACTTAATTTACTGATTCAAAATCCAAAAACGCAGGAAAAGAGAGTTGATTTTTTTTTTGCATCAGGGTGTGCCAAATGCCCCCGTTTCAGTGTCCGGTTTGAATTCAGGTTTTTATTTATAGGTAGAAGCTTTTAAAAATATAAGTAATAAATAACATAAATAAGTTGTAAAAATTAAAACACGTGGCAGGCCGCAGGAAGGGGCTTTGGGGGGTCGGGTCCTGGCCACGGGCTGCATATTTTACAGCCCTGGTATCGAGTGTTTATCCCTCGTACACATATATAGAAGACTGCAAAGCCTGGCCAATTGTTGGTAGCGCCAACTCACCGCATGGCTGCTGCTGCCTTCCCGGCTCGTCTGTGGTTCCTCCTCGCGTCTCTGAGTCGTCCTCTCCCTACGAGAGAGACTGGATACTGTGCGGCGCTATGTTACAAAAACATAATTATAATTAACAACAGCCGGCACGTCCTTTGGGCGTGACACTCCCTCCAGCCAGCCAGCAAATATTTTGTCTTGTGTAGTCTGAAGGGGCTCGCCTCGGCGCATTGCACAGGAGGCCTCCCCGTGCCGCCCGTCTCCTCGGTGGCTCTCGGCCGACGCTGGCAGAGGAGCAGTGTTTGTTGTGTGTTGGCATCGGTGGGCGGTGCGGAGCGGCGGTCCCACTGCTAACCCCACGGTCGTGCGTGAGTACAGGAGTGGTGCCCAACGGTGGGCAGTTCCCCAACGCGTCAGGCGCGCAGGGCGAGCTCCTCGTCACGGGCCCCATGTGCCGCTACGCCCAGGACCTGCTGCCCGTGCTGCGCATCATGGCCGGGCCCAAGGCCTCTCTGTGAGTGCTGCCCCCCCCCCCCCCCTTTCCACGTGGAGCCTAAGCTCACACGCTGCTTGAGGTCATCCGGCCTTTCATCCCACTTGTTGAAAGTAAACGATGGTTGATTCGTTAAACCTTTTTTTCGTTAGGCCACGTAAGTGGCCTGGCCACGTTTGGGTCATTAAGACCCTACGCTGCCCAACATTGGCTGAGAAAACCTACGTTTTAAACTCAATAGTCATTGGCTTATGTAAACAACTTTCCCTTGCTACAGGAGTGTGGAATTTACACCACTGATTCTGGGCCGTAAACTTAAATTATGATGGTGACCCCCATCGCTCACGAGTGCAGGGACATGCCGAGCATTTACTCCCTCAATGGCACAGTGCAGCGGATTTGGTGCATTGCCGACAGAGTCATTTATGCACGCATCTGAGCAGCGTATTTCACGCGATAGCCATCGGCGTCACTGCTGCTCGGTGAATTACACCGGGCCCCGGGCTGCTGGGCCACACGGAGTTACGAGATGGCCGCAAGGCCAGGGTGTGGGGGGGGTTTGTGGGCCCATCTGTGAGCACTGCTAATGAACGTCATCCTCTTGTACCAGCGGATTCGCTCTCAGCACTCCCACGTGTAAAACGTCAAATAACGGGCATTGGTCCCATGTACCAAGAGAGAGTCGTAAGGCTCCGTGAGGCCTTCCTAGGTGAGTCATGGACAGTGCCACGTGCTCTGTCGATCGTGCGGTCATTGTGAAGCGTCGCTACCCGCACTGCATCGGTGGCAGCTCCAGGAGGCACCGAAACGTTGTTATTTTATTCACATTTACCAGAGAGAACACATTGTATGGTTACTTTTATTCTTGGAAATGTCAGGAATGCCTGTGTACTGCCTGTGTACCGTCTCTGTGCCACGCTGTGCCGCGCAGCTTGAAGCTGGAGGAGGAGGTGGATTTGCGGCGGCTACGGTTTTTCTCGATGGAGCACGACGGAGGCTCCCCGTACGTGGGACGCGTCCATGCCGAGCTCATTGCCGCACAGAGACGGGTGAGCGATTGAGTGGGTGAGCGAGCGAGCGAGAGAGGGAGTGAGTGGGTGAGGGAGTAAGTGGGTGAGCGAGTGAGCGATTTAGTGTGGGTGAGGGAGTGAGTGGGTGAGCGAGTGAGGGAGTAAGTAGGTGAGCGAGTGAGGGAGTGGGTGAGGGAGTAAGTGGGTGAGAGAGGGAGTGAGTGAGGGAGTGAGGAAGAGGTCGAAGTGGGAGTGCTACCATGTGTGAGGCCCCGCCGGTCGCATTTGCAGCGCTGAGCCAGCCGTGAGAATTCCACATCGCTTTTAAGCAGGGCAAATATCTTCTATAGGACGCTCACTGTTGACTTCCTACAAAATAGTCCAGATTTTATGACTATAGAGAATTTATTGGTCGAGTCATTTCCCGACCAGGGTTTTAAATCGTAACCAGCTGAGTTGACGCTCTTCCACGGTGCCACCCAGTCGTGCGTCTTTAAATGTGACGGTCGCACTGTGGGTCCTCTGCTGCAAGTCGCTGCATGTCGCTGAGCGTGTGTGACCCACCGTAGTTGGGTCGACTGAGCCTTAAATGAGTAAATGGTGCAGTGTGTAAGCATCAGCACTGGGGAGACAAAGGCGGCCGGTCGTGGCCAGCCAACCCTCCTGTGCCGTGCCGGCTTTCGTAGGTGCTCACTCAACAGCACTTGTCCTGACACTTTGTTAAGGCTACACGGGGGATCTTTGTCTTTGCGTCCCGCGCGCAGGTGGTGGCTCACCTGCAGGAGCGGCTCGGCGTGCAAGTGCAGAGCCTGGCCCTGGACAAGTTCAAGTTCTCCTTTCAGATCTGGTCGGCCACGATGTCTCTGCCTGGCAAAGATGGGAAGGTGCGGGCGGTGCCAGAGGAGCCACTGGGAGACAGAGGATTTTTCCAGAGAGCGTTGTTCGTGATGTGAAGCTGGTCACCTGCGTGCGTGTGAGCGGCAGCGTAACAGTTTCAAAACCTGGCGACCCGAGTTCAATTCCCACTTACGGCCAACACAAGTGATGATTTTCTGAACCGGTCCTGGGCCCCTTCCCTAGGCTGACTTCGCCTAAATGAGCACCTGGTGCGGTGTGTAAACATTGCCACTGGGAAGACAAAGGCGACCGGGCTTGGTGCTGGCCTTCATAGGTGCTCGCTAACAGCACTTGCCCCAAAATTCTGTAGACGCTATACGAGGGGTCTTTGTTTGCCTGCGTGTGTGTGGGTAGTGTAGTGTGGGCAGCGATAGCGCGCTGCATTACAAATGCGGCGACCCGAGTTCGGTTCCAGCTCACGACTATCCGAACCAGTCCTGAGTGCCTCCCCTATATCGACTCAAACTTAAATGAATGCCTGGTATGCAGTGTGTAATAAACATCAGCACAAGGAAGAGAAAGGCAGCCGGGCGTGGTTTTGGCCACCCACCCCTTTGTATGCCGTGCCGACCGTCATAGGCGGTCACTAACAGCACTTGCCCTCGTGGCCTATTAGAGGTTATACGAGGGATCTTTATCTTTGTTGCCGGGTGTCGAGCGAGAGGCGCATGTGGCTGTGTTGCAGCCGGCTCAGTCGTTTGCGGAGCTGATGGGAGACCGCGGCCCCGCGGTATCGCCCCGCTGGGAGCTCCTCAAGTGGCCCCTCGGCCTCTCAAGGCACACGCTGCCCGCCATCGGTCGGTCGCCGCCGCCACCACCGCTACACCGCGCTGCCGCTTGTGGAAACGCACCACCTCTCACTACGTTATTTTACATTCTTGGCTTCACGGTTACATGGCCGCCTCTGGGCTGGCACGGTGAGGGTCTTGTCGATTCGGCCTCTGCCGCGGCATTGGGGCTGTCAATTCCTGGGTTTGGCACCAATGTCGCCGGCGTGTGTTTCGTGTCGAACGCCCTCGCCGTTTCTCATGGGCGGACACCACTGGGGCGCCCCGGTGGCGAGATGTTAACTCCCTCACCTGGTATGGAGAAGGTCGTGAGTTCAATCGCGACCCTGACGCATGTATATTTGGAGTTTGCATGTCTCTCTTCCCATGGTCACGTGTATTTTTCTCCAGATCCTCCGGTTCTTCCCTCCACATTTAGACTCAGCATCACGCATTCATAGTATTTGGCTGATATGAATGTCCACATTATAAGCCACTTTGTTGAGCTATCATTTGTGGCCAGATCACTCTGAAAAATAGCTATATAGCAGCTCAGTGGGTCTTACCTGGTAGTTTGTTTTTAGATTTTTAGTCGTGTTGTTGGGAACGATGGGCCCTGTTGACTCGACCTCTGCGGTTACCCTGGACCGCTCGGCTTGCTGACGTGAGTGTGTCGCGTGGTGTCGGTTTGAGGGCGCCCAGTGGGGCAGGAAAACACGAGACAGCACGCTCGCATGAGGAATGCTGCTAGGCAGAAACATAAACCTGCACAACTTTTCCAATCAAACTCCCGATGCCACCCGGACCGTGAGCGAGATGGCATTTCGCGTGCTCGTAGCATGCCTTTCTTTCTCTCATGGTGTATGAGGTCAATTGTTCACCCAATTGACCTCATACGCATGTTGTCACAATCGGTTATTCGGTTTAAACATTTCAGAATGGCACCGACTTTACTTCTCATTTCCAGTCCGACACCCAAGCTTCCGAGCGCTTTTTATCATCCCTGTCCATTATTGCATCGGTTCTCAACCTTTCCGTTGGACCGAGGCCGCATTCAGGTCTCACCGACTGCCATCGTAGAAAACTATGCTGTACAGCTACAGCGCGGCTTGCGACTCTGCTGCTAGCTGAAGCCAGACGAGGCTTGGGTCAGGGGGGAGGAGGCAGCGGAGTGGGCGCTGACTTGTGGCCCTGGCGCAGAAGCAGGTTCTCTTCTTCCGTCGACCACGGGGCACGGTTTTGCTCTATGCATCGTGAAATTAATTTTCCATTGCGGTAAAACCTTCCTAAGCCGGACTCCATCAAGATAAATACGTGCCGCCCCTGTGCTGCCCCCGCAGGCCTGGGCCTCATGGAGAGCCTGGCTAACCTGAACCCCAAGGCGGCGGCAGGGTTCGTGCGCCTGGGCGGGGAGCTGCGTGCGGAGCTGAGCGCGCTGCTGGGCGACGACGGCGTGCTGCTCTACCCGTCTCACCCGTGCCCCGCGCCCTTCCACAGCGAGCCCATGCTCACGCCCTTCAACTTCGCGTACACGGGTGAGCGCCCGCGAGTTTGCCCGCGACGACCGGTGTCGTAGTTCACGCCACGGCGAGGGTAGCCATGTGGCAAGTCGACCCGCCCGCTGCCCAGCCAGCGATGCCACAAACCATTGAGATCAGGACCAATGAAATCGGCCTAAGGTGGATTGTTATGTCGCAGGAGCATGATAGATGGCTCGAGCTTGGGAAGACGTTCATCCAGCAGTGGATTAAGCAGGGATGACGATGATTAATTCAAAAATCGAAAATGTTTTGTCTCGTTCATACCGTGCCATTTCTGTTGTTCCTCGTCTTTTGGTTACATTGAACGCGTTCGCCTAAATATTACTTGAGCGTAACATTTGTGTGCAATTTTTGTAACCCGTAAACAACTGATCCTCATGCACACGGTTCAGTACTTTGTCAGAGCTGATGCTTGTGCTGAGCGTTGCTCACCGGTACATCGTTGGCTGCGCGCAGATGCCGGGTCAGCCCTCATTTGCCGAGCAAGGCAAACCACTTTGGTTTAACGGCCCGATTGGCTAACGGCCACCGCGATTGGCTTGCGAATTTTGAACGAGAAAAGGCAGGAAGTATGTGAATCCGTTAGATCTAAAGGGGGAAAATTCTGGAGTAGGGGCAGGGAGAGTTACCTGCAGATGCTGCGCGCGTGCGCTGCGACGTCGCGAGCACGACTGTCGACGAGTCATTACAGGAGCGTGCGTGGTTCATTTGGCCAATCGCAAGTAATTTCGCTCCGAGCGTGCTTGCGTATTGGATGGGAGCGGGTGTGCCCAGAGAAAACCTCACGCGTGTGAGGGAGTAACGCTCAAACGCCGCACAAATGGGTCCGCAAACCCACTTTGTGGACTGCCTCCTCAAGGCAAGTGTAGATTGAGTGGTACGCAGATTAAATTATTATTATTGGCGGAGTTCGTCGCATTGAAGATGGCGCAAGTGAAGATCCGTCCCGTGCCTGGCGCGCCAGAGCGAGGGTCTCCTGATAGGACCAAGGACACCTCTGAGAGGTGACTTGGCTGAGCGGTGGCGCTTATTGCAGAACTTCGCTGTTCCAATCCGGCAGGCTGCCCCGGTTATTCCTGCGGATGGGCGCGTTAACCGTAAATACCACACGCCATCCGCTTTGCAGTGAACGTGAGAGGTCCTGTGACTTCATTTGAAAGAGGTCATCATCTGCCGGTTTCCCGGTTCAAATTTTCCTTATTATAAAATTAACTTGAAATTTACTCATTTGGGATTCCACATAGCGATCATCGCACCCCACTACTGGGATTAATGCCCGATTGCGGACCAGGTGCTGAGTCACCTTGCGTCACACAGAGACAGCTGCCACTGGGGGTGCCCTTTCAAATGCGTTGAGATGAGATGCGATGTTAAGCGCTCTTGAGATGCCCCAGCAAAAAAGTAGCACGACTCCATCGTATGTATGTATGTACATAGCCAACCGTGATTATTGGAGGTGCGGGCGAAGGACAAACACGAACCACGATAGTCATTTTGCAGATATCGCCGGGCACGGCAGGGAGGCAATCGCTGCTCACCTCGCTTCCTCTCGGAAAGTATGAAATTGTTTAACCTTTTGATATTGATTCCCAAATTCCTGACACGTGGTCTGCCTGCGGCCCACCTGCCCCGCAGGCATATTCAACGTGCTGGGGCTGCCCGTGACGCAGTGTCCTCTGGGCCTGGGTAAAGATCACGTCCCGCTGGGCATCCAGGTGGTGGGCAATCATCGGCAGGACCGGCTGACGCTCGCCGTGGCACGTGAGCTGGAGAGGGGCTTTGGGGGTTGGGTCAAACCCGACCGCGACCCCGGGGCCAACTGAAGGCGGTGTGCGGAAGAGAGGGACACCGGCGGGGAGAGGATGCCCCGTCCGCCTCATCGCTGCGTGGGCTAGATGCACCCCACGAGATGGGTTACGCTAAACGGTGCAACTCTTACAGTAATTCAGTGCAACTGTTGCCTCCAGCGGTGTGTTGAAGGTTCATGTGCGCCAATCAACTTGCGCTCATTGGCATGGCCGACCAAACGTCGGACCGCCAAGACCCCCGATTTGGCTCGATGCCAAGAGTGAGTCGCTTGGCACGACATGGGCACCGTAAAGGGGACCAGTGATGTCGTTCACCCAGGAGAGCCTCAACCGGGTGAGTCTCAGACTCCATTCAGGAGGGTGCTGCCAATTTATCAAAGTCGGGGGGGGAATGCTGCTGCTGTGTGTGATTCTCATTGGGTAATTTGTTTCAACATTGGGATGTGTTTTGGCCAGAACAGCTACATTGTATATGTGTGTGTTTAGCTATGGTAGGACACTGCAGAACCTGTAGGAAACCCATGCATAACGGGGAGAACACACAAACACAGAAAGGTAGGAATCAATGCCAAGATTGTGACAAGTCTAGCAATAGGGCACTTGTACGTCATGTGTCCGTTAATGTGGCCCTAGCGAGTTGTGTTGTGATGCTGCCACACACACATGAATGACATTCCTAGGTGAGGTCGGTCCCAGTCCCGCACTACCACTGGATTCGTGCGTTGTCCACCCCGTTGCGTCCGCATCTTGCTCCCACTGTTCTTTGGGGAGCTGGCGTGCGGTTGGGACGCCGCTGTCTGATGTCATCGCTGTCTGATGTCATCGCTGTCTGATGTCGTCGCTGTCTGATGTCGTCGCTGCTCTGAACCTTCACGCCGAGCCATCAGATTTCCTAATGGGGCTCGGTGGTTCATGGGGGTGTGACGGACGATGCGTCGGTTCCTCGATTGCGGTCGATTGCTAACGCTCCTGATGCGTGCGTGGGGTTGCACGTGCGCAGAATTCGATCGTGCGCATGTCTCACGTGTCATGGGGTTTGTTCGACCCCTGCCGCCGCTACTGTTTTTTATTTACTTTTTTATTTTATATAACTTCATGAAACCAGTTTTCTTTAAAAAAGTTTGATTTCATTATATCCTCTGCTGTTTAATGGATCGTGCACTCATTGCAAACGCCATGAGCAAAGCGATCAACGTGGGAGACAATTAGCGGCACAATTTGGGAAACTCCCAATCACCTCTGGCCATTATGACGATAGAGCATGGCCCCATAGCATGCATTTCTCCTCTGCTCCCCCCTTGCGGCATGGATTGGAGGTTCCCCGCTGCCTCTGTTTGGGCTCCGCGAGAGCGCCGTGTGTGGGAACGTGGAAACCACGTTGGCATTAGCTGGGTAAATTTGACTGCACTGGAAACAGCAAGGCAAGAAGCCTTCCTTCACAGAGACGTAGATATATCGAGATATAGATATCAATGCTGAAGCAATACGTGAGCCTGTATAATTATGGAAATGGAGATTAACCCCAAAATGCTGCTACCTAAAGGAGATGCGTTTGATATGTAACGCAGGAGTTTGCGGTGAGGTATCGTAATTGGCGTGATGCTGGCGAGCGCCCTTTGCGTGTGTCGTGATGGCTTGTGACATGTGATGTGCTTTCTAACACGATACCCGCAGTAGTAAATGATTCAACTTCAAAAAAAATTGCCGTGCCTCCTTGTGTATGAATGTTGAAATTCATCCACACGGTACGTTAGCCAACCGCGCTAATCTTCCTGCTTCGAGCACTGGCGGCCGTCAGCCCTGTTGCGATGAATGTCAGGGGTGGCTTCTTTCTGCAATGCTCACTCCCTTGTGCGCTACGATCACTGCACTTACAGAGCTCTACACACTTGTGGATGATCCGTGAGTCTCTGTATGATTAGGCATTGGCTTTATGGTTCAGGTTTAGAGGTAGGGTTTTGGATTATTGACTAGGGTTAAGGATTAGGGTTAATCAGTTATATCTGTAATGGCCACTGCTCACCAACACGCGATAACGGGTAAACACCGCTCCCTCCTTCATCCACAGCTCTCTCATCCCTCCTCTGATCTGTCCCCTCTTATCCCCACGGTCCTCTCTTCCATTCCCTCCCCTCATCCCTGTCACCTCATCTCCAGCTACCAGTCACAAATTGTCACACCGTTGGGTTGCCCCCCCTGTAAAGTCGAGGAAGGGATTGACGTCGGCGTTTAGGAGGTAGGGAATGGCGATGCTGTGGGGACAATGATGGAGGAGCGTCACATCACCCCCCCCCCCCCCCCCAGGGCAAGGAAGCCTGGCCTCGGGCTTCGTGGAGACACAGCACAGCCTCAACATAATAACATCACGTCCCTTTACCGTCAATTAGGGCTGTTATTATCCAATAGGCACGGTAGGCACTGATCATGTTTTTGTTTGTATGATAACACATGTAACCAAAATATATTATTAAATAAATATATTTATATCTTTTTTAAAATTAAGGTAATACCGATTGCCTTTACACACATCTGCTGCTGTCGCTTCTCCTAACGCTAAACGGATCTTGTTTAAGGCCAGCCTAGCTCTAATCTCAGAAAGAATAAGGCTGCTCCGATTTGAACTTGATAATTTAGACAAGACTCTTACAATCACATTTAGGATTAACAGCTGCTTCAATGTCAACCAAAAGCAGAGTTAACCTGATTGCCAAATTCAACCTGTCAAAAAAAACCCTGAACCACACTTAGAAAAGTTAGATGTTAACAAGATTGTTATCAATCACAGTAATGGCCCAATTTCTGACAGCCTAAAATCGGTACTAGGTAAGGGGTTTAATTTTGCAGTCACCCCCAAACACATCCCAGTGGATGACATCAATGCCCAGGTCAACGTAGCCCTCAAAGGTCTGGGACACATCCCAGCAGACGTTGCAAGATCTGAAATCGCTGCTATCCTCAAGAATGCTAAGAAACCCATTAGCAACAGCAAGGACGAGCGTTTTGAACTCGCTCAATTAAAAAAGAGTGATGATATTGTCATCCTCTCAGCCAAGGGCAATGATGCCACTGTCATCATGGATAAAACCACATACAACAACAAAATTCAGGACCTTCTCAATGATGGCTGCTATACCAAAATTAATAGAGACCCTACCAATAGCCTGGCTACTAAAACCAACAAAATCATCACTAATTCGACTTCCATAATCGAACCCACCAAACAGCTCTCTCCAAAACCTTCGGCTGCTAAACCACCCAGATTTTACGGCCTTCCAAAAGTCCATAAAGAGGGCACTCCACTCTGTCCTATCGTCTCCACTATTAACTCACCCACTTACAGACTAGCACGATTTCTGTCTGAGACTCTGCTTCCCTTCACGGGCAAGACCGTCTCAGCTGTACTTAATTCGGCCCACTCGGTTTCACTAATCAAGGACATATCACTGTCCCCGGAGGATTTGCTTGTCAGTTTCGATGTAGTCTCCCTCTTCACCAAGGTACCCGTACCTGATACTATTGCAATCATTGAAGACCTGGTCCAAGATGGACTGAATCCTGATGTACCTTCGTTGGTAAGGCACTGCCTTACCAACACTTATTTCACCTGTAATGGTACTTTCTACAAACAATGAAGGTACCCCAATAGGCTCTCCCCTATCACCAGTGGTAGCGAATGTTTTCATGGAGAAATTTGAGACAGATGCCATCAAAACATCCACCCGACGTCCTTCCTTGTGGAAGAGAAACGTAGATGACACATGCGTCATCTGGCCACATGGCCTGCCGGCACTGTACCAATTTCTCAACCACATACAATTCCATACACCCATATATCAAATTCACCATGGAAGTGGAAAATGATGGCAAGCTACCATTCCTGGATGTTTTGATCGTGAAGAGACCTGATGGCTCGTTGGGACACTGTCTATAGGAAAGCCACCCACACAGATTCCTATCTAAAGCCTGACTTCCACCACCATCCAGCCCAGAAGAATTCCCTCATCAAAACACTACACCATAGGGCTCGTTTCATCTCCGACCAGCATCACCTAGCCAGTGAGCTTGAGCACGTATGCCAGGCTCTCAGGAGGAATGGATATTCTGACAACACAATCCGCAAAGCTGCATCCCCAACTGTCTCGGCCTGGCTGTGCGCTGCGTTGCACCACTATCTGAGTAGATAACCTCGCATTCAATAAACCTTCAGAACCAGGGTGAACATCCGACTCCAAACGTAATTAATGAATTGAACGAGGTAAAACTGATGGAAAAACACAGCACAAATACAACATCTGTTAATACTTGGTAATATCAATACAATGAATGAACAACACTACAGCATCAGAACATTGTCTTAGATAACATGAAACTCAACAATAGATCCTGGATGGACCAGGAACCTACATTATTACTGAATAGCTATACACGAGAATAATCTGTGTTAAGGGCACATCGTGTAATCACCATGCTGCAGCCTAAATGTACACCACTACACATAACACTGAACTGTGGATGAGATATTTCGTCATCCTTGCTCTCAAGATTGCGATAAGGTTACATGGGCACAAGTCTGACTCGACTTATTCAATTGCCAGTAACATTCACAATAACGCAAGTGGCAGGCTTCGTTGTTAACTAGGCCTCATATTTATCATGACAATTTAGCAGCATTATAAAGGCATTTACAGCATTATAACGGTCATTATAACAGCATTTCCAGTATTATACGAACATAAACGAACTTACAGACAATGCTTCTTAAAGTCCCACAACGAACAGATGCACCTGTGGTCACCGAGACGTTATTTGTGCCTCCATTTTGTACTCTGTGTAATGGCTGACACCCGCATGGTTGAGAGGGAATCTTAAATCGTAACTTCCTGGTCATGAGACCAAACTCAACCTCAATACAGGAAATTCCTGTTTACACACACCCCCACATCTGGCGTGAGGCAAAACACCTGCCATGAGGCAGAACACCAACCATGGGTAGAGAACCATCTGAGGACCCAATCAAAACCATCACCTTGCCATACATAGCAGGGGTCACCAAAATGATTTCCAAAATCTTGAACAAACACAAGATGCAAGTTCGGTTCAATACAGTACACAAAATCCGTGATTTGATCCCATCGGTGAAGGATGCGATTCCTGACATGCAATGTCCTGGTGTCTATAAGCTGAGTTGTGTCTGCGGCAGCAGTTACATTGGTGAAACGAAGCGACATGTCTCAGACCGGGTTTGTGAACACAAAGCGGATTTGAAACACGGCAGAACCAACACCTCAGCGGTGGCTGATCATTGATTCAACGCTGTGGGCACACATGACATTGTTTTTTCCGAGACCAAGGTGCTGTGCAAATCCTCGGGCTACCATCAGAGATCTGTTCATGAAGCCATCGAGATATACAAATACAGACAAAACTTTAATAGAGATGGATTCAAATTGAGCAATCATTGGAAGGACGTGATAAACCACGTCAAGTTTTAATTGCTGTAATTCTCACTTCCACCCGTGCTGTTTACTAATTCAAGCTCATGGACATGCTAATTTCTCCATCCCCCACCCGTCCCCGCACACCACAAATCCCTGTGGATATGCAGCAACTAATGATTTGGCCCGCACAACAATTTCCTGCAGCCACTACTCTACACCCCCTCCTCCCCCCCCCCCCCCCCCCGTGCCTATATAAAGCCACAACAGCAGATCATTCTTTCTCACCTGATGACGGACGCTCGTGTTGCGACCGAAACGTCGTGTTCTTTTATTAGTTTTTCTATCTACGTGACTTTACCGAAAGAACCAGAGAGTATGGATTCCTGCAGTCACGAAAGCTTAAAATGAAGATTGAAATATATTTATATCGCAAGTATAGGCACAGTGTAGATACAAAAAGGCAGGATCCTGTCATTGCAAGTGGGTTTATTCATAAGGTGAAAGTATTGCAAAATTAGCAAAATTTCGCACAATCTCATTCTCAATAGAAAGTAGCAGTGCAAGGGAAAACAAGGCGGCGTTGTTTTCCTCTGGTTGATCGGAGACAGATTTTTTTTAATCAGCTCCCCTCTCTTTCACAATTGATTCCCAAGATGGCAAGATACAGAGCAATGTAACATTCGGAAAGCTGCTGATCAGCTTCTTAGATATATGGGCTTTGAGCATATCTGCCAATGTTTTTTTTTCCCAGCATACAAATGCAGGAAAAACAGGAATTTATCAGTGAATGATGTTCGAGATCTGCTGGATATGCAGCAACTAATGATTTGGCCCGCACAACAATTTCTTCTGTGGACAGTGATCTATATACAAGGGAACTGAATCTCAATGCGATTCCACTACAATTAGCCAGAGGAGTCTCAGGCTCCATCTAAAATAAACCTCACCAAGAGTACAGCAGAATTCACTGGTGAGTACAGTCAGTAACACTGATGTTATAATAGATTATAAAGTTATGTTTACAATCTGAATTTTTATTAGCGATTTTACCAATAACCCAATGAAGCCATCATATATTGCTCATACATAAGAAATAACATTTTCGGGAACACATCCCCATGTATAAAATGGTAAAATGACCCCTTTTAGTACTGATTTAATGAGCGCTCACTTCTCCAGGAACGCATCGTGAGCGCTAAGCAAAGCCGGTTTGTACTGAGTGCACCGCAATCCGTAGCGATGCACAATTTAATTCAGTCACAA